GCCCGCTTCCTTCGCCCTAGGCGGGCCCTCCTCCCCTCCGTTCCCGGATTTCGCGACGTGCAACGGCGGCCGCCATCATCACCACCGAGCCAACTGCTCGCGGTCTGCACAAGACAAGAAGAACGTCGCCCACAGGATTTCGCTATTCGCACGACGACGACCATGCGTCCAGGTGAGCTGCCCCTACCGCACTTCACGAACAGCGCGGGCTCGGGTGCCGCCGCGCGATCCGCCGTTTATCGGATAGCTCCGCCTTCGGGTATCGACACAAGACGGCGTCTGGGGAAGGCCCGGGGCTCTGTTCCCCACCGTCTCGACCGACGGTTGTCGTCAGCCGTCTCATACCCGTGCGAGATTGTAGGACGCGATTAGCAGAGTTTCTATAGTAGAGGGCATTTCATCGCGGATGTCGTCTCTTATGGTGACAGTCATAATCACCAGTTCGCGCAGTGATTTCAGCACCGACACTCGGCGCCGAGGATGGGTTATCTATCGCGTACCGTGATAACTCGCCTAATAGCCTCGCCATCGGAGGTACGTGCGCCGGAAAGAAGTGTAGAAGGAAGCATCGGTGCTAAACTCAAGCGACGTAGCGGTGGCACATGGTACACTGGTGGTAGCGATTAAACCCTACGTTGATCAAGTTGCTCAACAATGATTGGCTCCCTTCTATAACTTGCGCAATGAAGCCAATCGCGATGGAGGAATCCGAGCAGGATCAGGCCCGGTAGCGATCAGAAGTGACTGCTTGACAGCGCTGTTGCTTTGGAAGTCGAGCATCATGCGCTAGATACCTCGCTGGAAGCGCTTGAAACTTTGTTATTCTTTCGACCTCCTGGGTGAAATATCCCGCGTATGATATGTTTTGTGTATCTCTTTGCAACGGCATGCAGCTGTGTCCCACTTTTGTGCTGGATGTTGGGATTTTAGAGCGGCTTCAACGCATTGTCGCATCCTTTCTAACAAGCCGCACAACTTTACATCCTTCTCCGATTGCGCAATGATGGTTGATGTGTTCTTGTGCATGTGTTTCTTTTCGCAATGCGCTTAGCAATGCGCGAACCTCGTGCTCCCGGTTTTCCCTCGTGCACATTGCGCCGATTTGCACTCTGGTTTACTCTGACAAACGGGTCTTAAGGACATCGCAGTCGACATTAAGAAGACACGGTCATCGGCAGGGCACGTAGCGCAAAGGCGAGATAACTGCTGGTCATTACTGATCACAGACTGCATTCTAAGATAAGGTTAGTGGGTGAAGGGGAGGCAGAAAGTTAGGTGGGCAGATGAGATTAGGACGTTTGCGGGTATAACGTGGCAGCAGCAAGCACAGGAACGAGTTGACTGGCGGAACACGAGAAAGGCCTTCGTCTTGCAGCGGGCGTAGTCACGCTGATGATGATGACGATGTCGCTGTGACATCTCGGCGACACTCGTGACGTTCAACCTGGCGTCTTCTCCTGCTGCTTGAAGCTCAACTATCAGCGCCTGGTTCTCTCCACTATTGCGCGGATGACATGGATGCGGACGCAATAATAAGCGAACCGCTCATCAAAGCAAATTTATGTGAAGTACTATAGAAAAAATTCTCATATGGCACATCTGCCTCGTACCTAATAATCTCGTATACACATATATGAATCACACATATTCTCGTATGATCATGCGATATTATTGAATATCTTCCTTACGTGCCATGTGAGATTTTTTGATTCTGCACACAGCATTATAATTTATGTGGCCTTAGGTTCGTGCACGCTTAGAATAGGCGTGCACAGAGGTTCCATGCACGAGTGACGAAGGCTAATCGCCGCGCCATCTTTCTCTGTTAAGTCATGTCAAGCTTCTGTCAAGTCAATGTATCTGAAGTCTCTGCTAAGTTATGTCAAGTCCCAGTTAAGACAATGTGTGTTGAGTCCCTGTTAAGTCAATGTAGACCAATTCGTCAGACTTAGCGCCCTTCCTCCTCTCATGTGGCCCCTCTCCCCTGCGCAATGCTCGTTACGAGGCCAATCGCCGATATCTCCGATCACCGAAAAGCTATAGGAGCGGCCAATTTCCCCTGTGTCATTATCGTATCACCGTTTTCGCCCGGCCCCGTTCGCGAGACATAAACCGGCTGGAGCCATAATACGGTGGCGATCGCCATAAAAAAAAAAAAAAAATGAAAGAAGAAAGCAAGCGCGACGTGCAATGGCCAACTTGCGACTCGCGCGCCATCTCTGTCGCGTAGTTTGAGCGGAGAAAGTCTCTCCGCGAACCACATTTGCCGGTCGAAACACTGAGCATGAATGATGCGCTCTTCAGGGTGCGGAGAGAAGCAGAACAGCGGCTATGTGGCAGTGCTGTCCAGCACCTGAGGGAAGGCGCTGCGCCGTGCTTTTAACCGGGCGGCAGAATTTAGGCGCCTTCTTCTTCTTCTTTTAACCACTACCACCACCACCTGACAGCGGTGCGTGCAAAATTTAGAGCATGACTTTAGACTTCGCACATGGCAAAAGCGGCACGGTATTAAAGAAGAAAATACGGGGAAATAATTTATCGGAAGGTCTGAGAAGCTTGCGAAAACTACAAAAAAAAAAAAAGTGAGGGAGAGAGGATGACAATGCTGCTTTTTGGTTGGTTCATCCATGTGTGCCTGTTCGAAGGCGAATGAAAACTAGAAATGTTGCCAAGGAAAGTACAGGGGAGGCTATTTGTGGGGATTTTAACGTAGACAAAAACACAACTTGCCTTTGGCGGGGACCGAACCTGCGACCTTTGCATAACGTGTCCAATGCTTACACTCTTGGAAAAGAGTTAGTAAACAGTTAGTAAACGTGTGCATTTACTTGTTTCAAGAGCATTTCACTACCATCGCGGCATCCATTTATTATGCAGCAGCTATGGTAAAGCTTGTAACTGTTGCTGTTACTAACCGGGTAAGTGTGCTATAGGTGTCTTTAACTGGGCAACTACTAGGTGATCTACACTGCCGGATATTTAATTGACTGTAGAGCTGAAATGGTTTTTAAGTTGCTATAGCGCGGTTACTAGGAGAATATTAATGAGCTGACCATTTGAGTCAGATCTATTCACTTATTATGGATGGCAAAATTCACTAACCTGCATTTTACACTCTAAAACGTTTTTTAGAGGAACTGTGCAGTTACGCCTGAAAATGGCTCTGTGATCCTCCTAAAAACGGAATGCGCGCAATAAATAGCAGATGCAACGGCAATTAAGGAGGGGCAATTTCCTCTTTGTAGTAGGAGTGTTCATGCCGTGTGCAAAAGACCAATCGGTGCCTACACAAGTATGTTTTTATTAAGACGGTGCAGTGGTTAGTGTACGCGCATGCTGACTGAGTGGTCGTGAGTTCGAATCCCGTGAGTTTGCTGCAAACATTTCGAAATGTATTTCTTATGTGATATTTACATATCGATTGTACATCTGATTTTTCTTTCGCTAACTGTTACTCCCTTGAGGAGTAACCGCGAGAGCGCGGTTCCTCCTTCGCAGTTACTCCTGAAATGGTGCAATTGATTTGGCAAGTTAGTTTACTCCTGTAAAGGAGCAACCTCAATATCAATTTTCTTCCTTTACACTGTAAACACGGTTTAGCCTTTTAGGGAGTTTTTGGCTCGTGTTCCAGCGTGCATCGTCAAGGTAATAATGAAATGCCCTTCAATAGGATGTTTTCACTAACACCCTTGTTTGCGGCGTTCTTGCAGGGTTTCTGGGGGAGTTTTGTTTTCCTCGTTTGAACACCATATAAAGTGTGCTATCTTCTCTTGCTAAGAGGTTAGTGCTTATTGCGACAAATAAACAATTAGTATTTAGGTTGTGAATATCGTGACCTTTATTTTTCTAAGGGTGACCAAACTGGTATACTGCGGTGGTCATGCCCCCGTCCACTTTACGGGATATGTATGTGCATTTAAACCTGCGAGGGTGGGTCAGCGCCGCTACTAGCCATGACTGCGAATATTGTAGCTAGCAATGGAAAACGATTCCTTAAAATATCATTTATTTCGTTTACTTGAAACTCGTAGGTTCATATCCCCGATTGAAATGGTGACTTCTGTCCACTTTCGTTTACGCCATAATTAGCCCACTTATATCGAAACCACAATTAACAGCATGTTTGCTCTACCTGCCTTAATTATCCGTTTGACTCATTAGGTTAACTCGGTTATAGCATTCGGTTGGCTGGGCAATTTCTGGTGAAATGTCATCACGTACCATTAATTAACACAAAAAGAATACGAGGACGACCCGGATGTCACTACTAAGTGAATTTTTATTTGTGTCAGCGCACAAAGGATATATACTGAAAAAAAAAATACAACGCATGTGCTCAAAACCACGAACCTATAGTCAACAGCGCAACCAACGCTCACGAATTCTAATCTTCGAAGAGTACAGTTTTAATGACGGTGCTCTAATGCGCGATGGCAAACTATGCTCGCACAAAGTCGACAAAGAACGAGCTCTTCTCGTGACACGGTGATAGGTTGCCACCAAGTGTTATTGTGTGCATAACCACCATATGGTTATGAGAGACGCCCTATGGTAGCGATCCATAAATTTTGACCGCGTGGGGTCAGTAGAGACAGTTGGGCGAGTTGGCTTGGGTTCTTTACTAAATGTAAGTACACGGACCTCAATCCTTTTCGCCTTCATCGGTAATGTGGGATTCGATCCCGCGACCTGCAGATCAGCAGTACCATAACCACTACAACACCGCGGCATGTGTGGAAGAAGCGAAATGTTCAGCCGGCGAAATCGCGCCCAAGCGAGAGCGGCGCCTGGTGTACCGAATGTTCATAGCGTAAGCAACACCTGGGGGTATGACTTAATTTAATTGAGAGCCGCCGCCGCCGAGTTGTGATGCATGGAACGGTGGCGCCAACGATGCGATCCCTTTCGGCGTCGGCCCGGCGATGCTTGTAGACGCTCGCACGAGGTGAGCGGAACGAACACGGCGTCGTCGCCTGCCGGAGACGAGCGCAGCAGCTGCCGTCCCCGTCGCCATATGTTTGAGTGCGCGCCTCGCAGCAGCGTTTTTCGTCGCCATCGGCCGCGCTGTGCGGAGACCGTGTCGATAGGCCGCTTTGTGTGCACCGAGATTTGTTATTTTTGTCTGTGTGTGGTGCCCCGGTCGTTCCCCTGCTCGGCGGTGGTTCGGATAATACCGGCTGGATTGCGTGAATTTCGTCTCGTGCGACGACTGAGCTGAAGCTTCGCGACCACGACGTAAGTATAATACGAAGCTGTGTTCTTGATAAGCTTCCACATCTTCGTGATCAATGTTGCTGCCGGGAGCGTCGTGAAAAAAATAATTGAAAAAAATTAATCGGTGATTACGATGCTGCCTAATGCAAATTCCGAGTGCAGCTTCGCCTTGGTGCAACTGTATTTGAAGTTCTGGCTTTCCGCGAAATCGTAATTTCTGTGACAGCAGCCACTGAGTGACTATTGATCTTTCTGCGCACGAACGAGGTATTACCTTGTTGATGTTGCATGTGACTGGTGATGATGCATTATGGGTGAGCACTGTGCAGGGGGCGGGAAACCGCACACTCGTTGCGCATTTAGCATTTTCTGACGGTCTGGTTATTCTACTCTTCTGGCGCGCCATGTTATACAGAGTATACACGTTCACTTGCTGGACGCGCCTGTGTATAGGGCCTTTTTCGCAGATGAGTTTCAAGCGCACTAGCGTCGCCCTGTGGATTCTCGACCTCAACGCAGAGGGCCCGGGTTCAAATTCCATTCGATCCTGGGTATTTCTTTTTCTCTTTTTTTTTGTCTGTCGCGTACGCCACCGACGGCGCGCCGCTAAACTCACGAACGGGCGAGCTGCGCTGTAAATGTAAATGTCGCTTGAGTAAAAAAATTGTGTTCGTAGTCAACGCTCTTGTCGTCGGTTCCTTCCTTATTCTGTTGTGATCGTGTGTGTGCGCTGTCTTGAGAGGAAGCTTTGCCAACTCGCCTAAGTAGCCACCCAACTCAAGTTTGATTCCCCGGCGGACGAATTTCAAAGAGGACGGAATATAATAACATGACACTCCTTTGCTCGGTTTTATGTTAAGGAACCCCCACGTGGTCGAAATTATGGCGGCGTCCCGCTCAACGTTGTAACGCATCCATAACGCAATTGTGGCCTGCGTGAAACACCACATATTGCGTAAAACACCACCGTTTATCGTGCGCTCCTGATAGTGCTTTCTGAAAAGACAGGGCGGGAAAACATGGTCACAAGAAATAAGTCAATGCACCGCTATAACGCTGATGGTTGAGACATGGCACATCGATAACGGTCCATGCGTGTGTCAAGAGTCGATTAGGTTGCATAAAGATCTGAATTGTCGCGTCGTGTCCGGCTGTGCTGTATTTTCGTATCGTACGTTCTGTTGCGTTGTATTTTGTGCCGTTGTTAATTTGCTGACATATTTCGTCTGCTAAGTGAAAAGGAGATAGCCGGTGCCGCCATTATGGCACCAACTTCTATTTTATCATTTCAAGAAAAAAAAAAGTTGAATCTTTAGACCCCCACGCGCGCTGGATTAATAGGTTCACCAATTGCACGGACATGCGCGGGTAAGATTTTGTGCCTGCGTTCTTTTTCGCCACTGTGTGCCTCTTCGGTTGTTATAGACGGCGTCATGTATTGTCTTGACTTTCTTGTGTCGGTGTTTGCGAGCCCTGCCTTTCATAACAAATGAACTTATCAAATTAGCCAGCTGTCCGTTTTTCTACGCTTATAATACAATCGTCTTCGAAGACTTTCTCCGGCGCATATTAAAGCATTGCGAAAAACAGCAAAGCCACAGACACGCATGCGCAGTCAATTAAGAGCGCTGTGGACACATGTAATTCCTTGCCTCGTCTTCTGTCGTGCGCTGCCCGCCACGATGGTCCGGTGGTTATACCGTTGGACTGGCCGGGATTCCTAGGATCGAACCCCGGCGGCACTTTCGATGGCGGCGAAAATGTGCGAGGCCCGTATACTTAGATTTAGGTGCACCTCAGGGAATCCCAGGCGGTCAAAATTTCCGGAGTGCTCCACTACGGCGTCTCTCCTAATATCGTGGTTCTGAAGCGTCGAACTCCATCAATTATTATTATTATTATTATTATTATTATTATTATTATTATTATTATTATTATTATTATTATTATTATTATTATTATTATTATTATTATTAGTTAGTAGTAGTTAGTAGTAGTAGTAGTTAGTAGTAGTAGTATCTTTCACTGACCTTGCCTGCCATGGCATATTAGCGGCTATAGGTGTTGCGTTGCTAAGCTCGAAGACCTGGCTTCGATTGCAGCTATAAAAGTTACGACAGCCTCATTTCGATGAGGTGAAGTGTAAATATACCCGTTCGCTTACTAGGTTTTAGGTGTGCGTTAATAAGTTAAAATCGGTCATCTGCACCGCGCCTCGTAGCTATATAGCGTGGTTCTGGTGCCTAATATCTCAATGTATTTCTTTCCTGTTTTCTGTTAGATCCAGTTAAAGGTGATAACGCTAAAGGAATTTATAGGTGAGATATTCTTATGAAGTCAAGTTGAATGGCTTCATTGTCGCCGCATTGAGAGCTGTGTTTTCAGACACTTGCGGGTTTGCCTGTCTACTGACGTCGTTTGTAAATTCTGAGTTTCTCTTATTTTGTGCGCAACGAAGCGTCCCGCGGTAGTCCGCACGGAGAGGGAAATTGCGTAAAACGTGAAACTACACAGCGGTGTTGACGGAAGGCGACCGCGCTTTGTGCCTCGTCATGACGTCATTGTGTCCACATGATTGTACACCGCTGCGACGCACGATGGCGAATCTGTCACGTGTCTTAGCGAGGTGACGCGCAGATGCCCCGACCAATGCCACCTAGAAGAAAATTATCTAGGTGGCATTGCCCCGACTGACGCATTTGTTGCTTGTTATCAGGTCCTTCTCAAATATACTGGACTGCGCGCGAATTGTCTTGCAAGCCTGAAGAGAAAAAGACCGAATTTGCCACAGGTAGTACGCTGTCTAAATATTACGTTTTGATTGATCAGATTGTAACGATATTTACGTCCGAAAAGCACGATATAATAATGAGAGTTGCCGTAGCGAAGGGCTTCGAAAGTGTTGACCACAGCAAGCGGGCTTATAATTTCGCCTTTACCTTCGCTGTCTCATTGTCATGGGTCTCCAACTCGTCTCATCCAATGGGCTGCAGTCGCGAAAATTTATTCCCTCAAGGGCCATGACAGGACAGGGACGAAAACAGGAGCGGGAATGTTGGGATGGGGCATAGGTTGTACAAAATGCCAACCAACTTTGTCATGTGGAAAAGGAAAACCTTTTCCGTATATATGTGGGTCGTTTGAAAATAAGATTTCAACAATAGCAACATGATTCCAACAACAGAAATGTATCGATACTTGTCTCCAAAATGACTGAAGTCTGGTGGACGCCGATTCTGAAATATGTAAAGCTTCGTTTCAAAGCCATGTATCAGCACATGATGACCACTGGGGATGCCTCACGAAAAAAAAAAATTCTTTGTGCTAGTTATGCATGTGTAGATCATCAGCATCTTTATTGAGAAAATTAAAGTATATGCGGGACAGAGACAGTTACATGCGGCCAACTGGCCGCATGCTTAACATTTTCGTCTTTGGAAAATACAGAATAATCTCTGCGATTTTTTTTTCATAAGGATTGCAAACACAAATTGGTAGTCTTCTGCAGCTGCCATAGCTTATAAGCCTGCCATGTCGGAAAAAAAAGTCAATTTAAAAGGAAGCGAGTAACACTTAAAGGACGCAGTGTAAGAAATACAATGAAAGTTGTTCACTATTTAGCTAAAAAACGAATACCTACTTCCTTTTCAAAGAAGCGTTCAGTATATACTCTGATAAAGTGAAAAGCTATAGCTTTGGCCTCTTTTTCATCTAAGATATGATTTGCACTTTTTTGAAAGGTTCGTAGTTATTTGAAATATCGAAGGACAATGTCCTTCCTTTTTGAATTATGCTCTCATTAACCCCAGTGCTGGATTTCAGTACGTTCTCAAGTTACCGGCGTATTTTCAAAAATTTTTTATTACTTCCATATGTTGCAGCCTTCTGAAATGGCTCTTGCAGGAGTGGTATAATACAATTCAGAAAGAGCTGCAATAAACAAAATATACTAGAAAAGTAACAGCAGGAACCATTTACAACAATAACAGTATTACGCTCTTCAATAAGTGCAGACTCAAGGTCATTCAGCGGGAGTGAGCGAATGCAGACAGTTATGGAATGCTGTATTTCTCTCGCGTGTGGAAAGAAACCATACACAAACGTATCTGTACGCGAAAAAAATGAGTCAAGATTAAGTTCTTGAATTTTACACTCAGAGGAAGGGGTGGCAAAGAATAGACATACTTGTATCTTAGAACGTAGGGTATCGCGTTCTGAGCTTGAGGGTGTGGTTTCGATTCCCAGCTCCCGACGGCCGCATTATAAAATGCAACGAGCACCCGTGTGCTTAGATTTAGGCGCATGTTAAAGATCTCCAGTCGGTCGAAGTTTCCAGAGTCCTCCATTGCGGCATCTGTCATAATCATGCCGTGCTTGTGGTATGCAAAATTTCAGCTCTTATTATCAATACGTTCTCTTATGATCATGCCCTAACGTTATCACAAGTCACTAGGTTAAATGCTTGCTTTTTGTCGGAATGAATGTATTCGATGTGTGCAGCTTAATGATGATGTTTGATAAGTGTAATCACATCGGCATAAGGGATGCCGTAGGCCAAGCCCGTTCGCATTGCCTTCTCAATTACTTGCCTAGCCTTGGAGGCATTACACATTTACTTGAATAACATCATTTCTATTTCGATTCAAACTATCTCAAGATTCTCCAGCGGCTAGATGTGGCTATCTAACCTTGTTTGCGGCACCTAAACCGCTTACCGGATGTCTGAACTCTGTCCACCTATAGTAGTTCCATGGAATACCGTGCTTTTCTCTGTCTTTGTGTGTACATGCGTTCCAGCAACTCTACTTCTGCGGGAAAACAGCTTACGTTATGTTACTGCGTCTCGACTCGGGTCATTGTCTAGCGACGCCCGCTGATGGCGGTTTATTATTACAAGCTGGTGGCTCGCTGAGTCGTGACACCTTATTAGCAGTCGACACTTGAGTATGAATACGAGAAATCATTAGCAACTCTGTAGCGTGCAGCACAGCTGCTATAGCACATGCATGCCTTAAGCTAGGTCTGCACACAACTGAGGTAGTTCAAGAAGCTGGTATAGCAGCCAGTGGTTGTGTTTTGCATATCGCATGAATGACTCACACACGTACGAACGCGCACGCACACAAAATGGTGTGGAGTAGAATAAATAAAAGCGGAGACTTTCAACTAATCTTTGGTTTTTACGTTGGAGCAGAATCCACGATAAACACGATAAGGCGAAATGGCAAAGTAAGAGAAAAAAAATGTAATCGGCTAAACCACGTGCCCACGATCAGAGCCTTTTTACGAAAAGAAAAAAAAAGTATCCCGGTCAGTTGTTTATGGTCGAATCGTTAAAGGGCTACGGAGTGCGTATGTGCAGTATTCGTGCCCTTCGCAAAGTCCCGTTGATTGGTGTATACGTTCATGCATGTCAGCAAGAAGGTTTTACATTTTACGTGCTGAAATACGACATGCATGATCATGAAACAGTGGAAGACTCCGGGTAGATTTAGATCGCCTGTAGCTTTTCAACGTGCATCCCGTGGGTGTCTCTTGCAGTTTTCCCCTATCGAAATGTGGCCGCCGCGCCAAGGGAATCGAACCCGCACCCTCGAGCTTAGCAGTTCCACGCCGTGGCCACCAAGCCGCCACGGCGACTTACTAATGTTTTTCTTTTTATTCTTTATTTACAAATACTGCAAGCCCTATTCAGGGCTCAGCAGGAGGGGGTACATCATTGCACGTAAACCATGCCAACAGTAATTAGTACTGTCGCTAACATAAGTGGTAGAGCATATGTTGATTGCAATCAAAAAGCAAAAAAAAATCCTTCGCGATTTGAAACACATGAGTAATATTACAGCAACAAAGCATGTAGAACAACAATGTGATACGTAAGGTAAATTACACACCATGCATCAATGAAAAGCGAACGCAAGAATCAACTGCCTTTCATTGCTACACAATATAAGCAATTTTACATGGTAAAGGATATGTCTACTAAAAAGCCCATCGAACGATCTTGTTGTGCTAGCGTTAACCACTACTTTCAGTAATTTATTCCACAGTGACATTGCATTTGGAAAAAGAAAATGTTGATGTATGTGAAAATTGCTAAATATCTGCTTAACAGTTCTGTTATGGTGTTTACGACTAGACCTTATAGATGTGGCTCAAGTAAGTAACTTTCACGTGCTGTGTGGTAGTGACCGTGTTACAGCTGACATAAAAATTTGATGCGAGATGCGGTTTTGCGATGAGCCAACTTTTTTCTGCCCTCTCGCCATGAACGGACACGCTTGAAAAACGCGAATATGTGTGCGGTGTATTATACTTTCTTAAGTATTTTAAATGCAGGCTCTAGATTAGGTTGGCATAATTTAATTTTGGTCTGACGAGAGCATGACTATTATATAGACCACAGCGGCGGGTACAGACGTCCGCCACGATGGATGAGCTGCGTCCGCCACGGAGCTCGGCTGCTGAATCCCGGCCGTGGCGCCCGCAGTTTCGTCGAGACCTGTGTACTGTGTGATGTTAGTGCACGTTAAAGAACGGTCCAAATTTTCGAAGCCCTTCACTAAGGCGTCTCTCATAATCGTATCGTGGTTTTGGGACGTGCAGCCCCACATATCATTGATTCCGATTCATACGTAAATTTATGTATCATCGACACAATCTTTGCCCTTTTTTCTTATGAAAAACACGCGACATTGTTTTACCTTCGTCTTAAGATGCGTCCTTGCGCGGTCGCCTTTTTGGCGCCAAGTTCACCGTTCACGTATACTCAACGTGCACCAAAGCGCGGGTACTACGAAACGAGCGAACGGTTGTCTACACGTGCTCGAACGCCACTTCGATGGAGGCGAAATTCTGGAAGCCCGTGTACCAAGGTGAACGTGAAAGAACACCACGTGGTCGAAATTTACGAAGCCATCTTTTAAGGCGTCTGTGATAATCACAACGTCGTTTTAAGACATTAACCTCCGTATTCTAGAACGTCCCTTCACTCAACGCTTCACCTTCACTTGAGAAAGCCGATGGAAGCGCCGTCTCTAGGCATGGCAAGTCACTGCATATCGGTGATAATCTGCTGTGATTCTTGACTAGCGCAGCGTCATTTTCAGCCGAGCGGTGGCGCAGTACTCAACTCTGCCAAGTGAAGGGTGGAAGTCGAGTCGAGGAGCGTTTGTGAATACGGGGGTAAAACCCAACAAAGATTGCATTTGTTGATATATTCTGCGCGAGGTGAGGGTTCGAAAAAAAAATTGAGACTACGGTTCGAAATTTCACGTGATGTTCGTTTACCGCCAATTTTTTTTTTACTTTGCGCCGAAGCTATAAAAAAAAAAAGCATCAGTTATTAGCGCACGCGCGTCCTGCGTGTTCCTACACTTGTGCATCGCCTCGTGTCGCGCTGTATTTTCCCTTTGCAAGCTAGTACTGCTAATCGAGCACGAGTGGTCTGCTCCTGTAGGTTTCGCGCCGTCTCTGCGAGGTGATAGCCCGATCGCGGCATCGTAGACATCTGCTAGCCTGAATGTGTCGCGCGCACAAGCTGCGCTTTGGGGTCAGCAGGCGGTGACAGCTGCTGCTGGCGACGTTGACAGTCCTCTCTCTTTTTTTTCCCTCTTTCCGTGTTTGTGATTCCTTTCCACTTCTCCCCCTTGGCGTATCGCTGGCGCCTTCGGCGACTCTCACAACGAGCTATTGTTTGTATCGTCTGTATTTTTTGAAGAACGCCCTCCCCCGCAGTCGCAAAGTTCCTCGCCGCTTGACCCAGAGATAAGCATTGCACATGTGCGAATTACGTGTTTTTTTTTTCTTTTATCCACTGCAGTACAGCGGTAGTTATGGCGCTCGGCTGCTGACCTGGAGGTCGCGGGTTCGATCCCAGCTGGCAATATTTAGGCTGTGCCAGGCAGAGACCTTTTCTTTTTATTCAATTTGTACAGTGGTGGAGTGGCGTCTTACTAGACGTCTCTGCTCGGGTCACATGACCCCGAGCAGTCAGCACGAAAATGGACCTTCCGTTTCCAAGGCCTCGTGTGTCAGTGCCCAGTCGATCGCCTTGATTAATAAGGCGTTTAGATATTTGTATCTATGTGTACATTTGATTTGTGGCAGTTGTTTGCTGGACGCATGCGTGGTAGGAGGAGCTTTAAGATACTACGGTCCTGCTTTGTTGTTGGGGCATGCGTATCTGCCGATGGAAAATAGATGTAGGCAGCGCTCTTCATGCGTTCTTTGCACTGTCGCAAGTTTTGATTATGCCTACAAAATGGTACAGAACGTTCGTTGCGAGTTCTCGAACGCCGTCATATATGGTGAATGGTGCACAAGACTGATTTTTTTGTCCTGTATTATTCTTATTCGCAGTTATTCCGAGGTCGTCTGCACCAACGACGGCCACGCTCCTTTAACTCAGCCGAAACTTCGTTCTGACATGACAGCTGTACAGGTAAGTCATACAAATGACGCTTTATTTCGGCATGTTCATTTTGCCCGTAGAATGTTTGCCCATCGTCCCTCTCCTTGCTGTCATGCTGGTTAGCTCATTCTGTAGAACGACCCATGATTCTGCAAACCCGCCACGGTAGTCTAGGGGTTATATGGTGCTCGAATGCTGACTCGAATGTCGCGGAACCGAATACCGGTCGTATTTTTGACGAAGGCGAAAATGCTTGAAGCCCGTGCGCTTAGATTTAGGCGCACGCTTAAACCCCGGGTGGTTGAAATTTCCGGAGCCCTCTTCTACGGCGTCTCTCACAATCATATCATGGTTTTGGAAGGTAAAACCCCGACTATTATCATTACCGCCCCGCAAAATCGCTGCTTCGGGGTTTAATTCCCGAACCTGGACTAATTTGTCGGCAACAAAGAAGCTTTCTTTATCAAGAATCTGTGCGAACTTCCCTAAGCTTCGTGCTAAAAATGATTGGTTGTCAATTTCTCACTCGTAATGCTGTGGTTTAGTTGTCAGAAGAAAATATAGTACATCGTATGTTAATAGAATACATCGTGGAAGCAGCGCTTTTTTTTTTTTTTTGCCATGGATAAACTTGGGGCAGACACAAGTGATCGACAAGCCTCAAGCGAAGTGCGCGAAATGCGATGCGATCATGAACGAAGGCGATGCGAGTGGTATAAGCGTGAAAACTATCAGTGATACAGTAATAAGAAAGGGGGCGGTGCTTGAACAAAGATAAAGGATGAAATTAAGACAGGGCATGCCTTTTTTTTTACTTTGCTATGAACCCAAACCAACTCGCCTACCATTTATATTCATATCTGCCTACTCTGTGTATCCATATCTATCTTTATTATGTCTACTCGCGTTGTTTTTCAGTCTGTGCAGGCTTTGCTCTACGTCGAATGACGACGTTCATTGATTGATTGATATGTGGGATATGTGGGATATGTGGGGTCCCAAAACCACCATATGACTGAGAGACGCCGTAGTGGAGGGCTCCGGAAATTTCGACCACCTAGGGTTCTTTAACGTGCACCCAAATCTGAGCACACGGGCCTACAACATCCCCGCCTCCATCGGAAATGGAGCCGCTGCAGCCGGGATTCGATCCCGCGACCTGAAGGTCAGCAGCCGAGTACCTTAGCCACTAGACCACCGCGGCGAGGCACATGACGATGTTCGTACTTTCGCAAATAATCTGTGGGGGACGCCTGTATAGCCTGCCTTTAGTCGACCCTTGCCGCAGTTGTGTAGATTTTACAGCAAAAACTTTAAATGGCTTGGAAAAAGCCATTCGGAATTGGTGTCGCGAGCGGACTGCATTGGCTGTGCTATCAGTCGTTCTTAGCGTCGTATCGAAAGCACGCGCGCCATTGGCAGCGTTGCGAGTTGACGTCGTCCATCCCGTCGCAGCCGTGGCGGCAGAGAACGTGCGCGCCAGTTTCTACTGAGAGCTTCCTTAGAGGCTTTTTGACCACGGCCCTCAGCATCTCGAATGTTGCAAGTCAATAAGGTTTCAAGGATAATTCACGGACAACTCTTGAAGAGCGCCGTCAGTGGAGAGAGTTCGCATTCAGCGGGCCGATGCTACAGTCGGGGCACATAATCGGGCCCGGGAGGCAGGGTGCTGGCGGCAACTGCGTACCGATGATCCCGCAGCCTTCCAAGCCGCGCTAGATCGCGAATGCAAGCGCCGGTGGCGAGGGGATCCTGCAACGCTGAGTTAACTCGTTATGTTAAGCGCAGCCAACAACGCCGCGCTGAACAAGCGGCGTTGCAGGCACAACAACGTCAACGTGAACGGGGTGACTGTGAGAGCAGCGCCCGCTTTCGGCGGGAGTTTCTCCAGTGGTAATTTGGCTTCGGCTGCGATGTCTATGACCACCTGTGGTTCCAAAAGAACAGCTGTAATTAACGCATCGCGAAATGTATTTAATCGCTCATTACACTCATCCATGACCGTGTTCATGCGAAGCAATACGTGTCATGTGAAATACACACTGTGGTGAACTGAAGCCAAACGCATGTCTGACCTCATCAAGAAGCACGAACATGCAGCAAATAATTGTGAAAGGCTTCAGTGCAGCATCGGGTTGAACCCACTGCTAAACACCGGGGCCGCACGTTTCAGTTTACGCTGGTTAACCAATGGTACAAAGTGCTTAGGCGTTGTTTTTTTTTTGCAATAGATAGCGTGAACATGACGTCATGTATGCACAACAGAGTTCCACCATGGTGGCTCAGATGACGTCGAGGCACTATAATCTCGCGTGCGATTAACCCGCTTCTGTGTGATAACGACATCGCCGCAACGTCATTGGGACTTTGTGCATGTATGACGAAGGAATCGGCGTGCGATGCACTGATAAAATTAATCGGACATCACGTAAGATAAGATACAAGGCCAGCTCTCCGCTCTTTAACCTGCCTTCGCAGGTCAAGAGGATAGTTATAACGCGTAAACAGAACGACAACAAAGAGACTCTGTTCTCGCGCGGTAACTATCGTCATGTCATACCAACTAGCCCAAACTGCCACACTTTGCAGGTCAACTAAGTTGAAGCCGTGCATATTTTTTTTTTCGAGGCAGTTTGAAGCACTGGTGTCGTTCTGTAGAATATCAGAGTGCCACGCAGAATGTCTGGGTTCAACTCTGCTCGAACGCAGATTTTTTTTATTTATCTAACTATTTGCCCTGGGTCGTTACGGTTACAACCAGTGCCGCCGACACGGTCTTTTCTGTGACACCGGCATTTTCACCCTGTTCGCATACTACTCCTACTTTCACGCTATCCTGTCCTCAGACACAGCGCGTGCGCGAATTCGTGGACGTCGGCTCCCTGGCAATGCCTGGGCTATTGCCGTGAAGTGGCATTGGAAGGCAACAGCAAAAGTGGGAGCTAACAGACGATAACCCTTCGTCTCCAAGCGCCCATGCATGTGGCCGCTATCATATGTAGTGTAGCGGGGTCAGCCTATTGATTAATTGATTGATCGATTGACTGAATGATTGATATTTGCGTTTTAACGTCCCAAAACCACCATATGATTACGAGAGACGCTGTAGTGGAGAGCTCCGGAAATGTTGACCACCTGGGGTTCTTTAACGTGCAGCCAATTTGAGCACACGTGCCTACAAGCATTTTCGCCTCCATCGGAAGTGCAGCCGCCGCAGCCGGGATTCGACCCCGTGACCTGCGGGTCAGCAGCCGAGTACCATAGCCACCGCGGGGGGGCCGGGATCAAGCTAGGCAAACAGTGTAGCGGGATCAGGCTGGCCAACACATTGCCTTAAAATCGATTTGAAATTTCAGCATTTCGTAAAAATATCTGTATGTGTCTACTTCTGTGTACAAATAGCCAGATGTTCTAGATGCAAGCGGCTAGATTTCGCTACTGTCTGTAACGTCTATATATACGCAGTCATCGCATGTTGCGATGCGTGTTTGGTTTTGCTGAAGGCTTCATTTTTTTCCCACTTCCCTTACTTTATTGCTTTTTTGTACTTGTAGTTCACCTTCGCATGAATCGATGTCAGAGTAATGATAAAAAAAGCCGTAAAATGCGTCGCCAGGCCACGTTCAGCGGATGTGTGACGGTGTTCACTTCCTTTGTTCTTGGGAGTGCATCCGCTCGCTTTGTATAACATGTGTTCTGTCGTAAAAAAAAAAAAACTGCGTTTTTTAGAGGGCTGTTTAAATCAATTGGGCCTATTCTAAAATACCCTAGAAGGGCCCTGCAGCTGCATGATTATTTATTTTTTGAGATTTGGTTCATTTTTTTCCCACACGAGAAGGTGAAGCAACAGCAGATTGCACTTTTTACTGCGAGTGAAGGGATGGTATGACTTTTGTAATAACAAAAAAGAACAGAAAAAAATTCAACCAGCTGCCGTTCACGGGCAGAGAAGAAAAGGTGAAGCTGTTGGCATGCAGTGGGGTTGAATGAAGCGAGAATGAAATCGGAATTAAGTAGGTGAATGAAGTGCGAGAAGTGGGCAGTGCAGTAGTGAGCGTAGTGTGACAAGTGGCTCATAACCGCAGCGGGATTAAGTGGGGTAAATCCCAATACGGCCTCCGACGAACACGAGGCATGAAAGTTCGTGTCAAACACGAACAAAAATACAAATGACGAGCATGCGATAGCGAGGCTGCAAGCAAGCTGGCAGCTTCCTCCGAGAAGGAACAGCATATCCTTTCAGGAAGAGCAAATTGATAAAAAAAAAAGGCAGAGTAAGATGGCAAGAACAAAATAGGCAAAAATGAACAAATCGTCGGAAAACACACAACTATGATGTTGCGCGAAGCAAACGACACAGGGACACGGGAAACCCCACTTGAAGGGACGCTAAATAGAAACCATCACTTGATTTGTAAATGTCTAATTGTGTTTCGCTATCATATAGGTTTACTATTAGCGAAGAAAATCAAGGCTGAAGTTTCATCTTTAAATTTTGCGCAGAAATCTGACGTCAAAAAGTCCAAAATGTATTCTAAGTATTTTCGCAATATTTGCTCGATTAAACATTCTGAAATTTCGTACGCTAGGCCTATGGTATCCAGACATGACTATGTCGGTATACCATAGGAATGTCAAATATTCTCTGGCCACACCTCTATATGGATACATGGGATAGTGGCCTAGGAACTTTTGACAGCTCCTGTACTTATTTTTTTTTTCAAATAGAAGCTACGTGGGCTTTTGTACGCCTTGGGCTTTCACCGGAACGATTCTGTTGTAGTTACCGGGCGCACAGTGGTCACTGCACTCGTCGCACAGTCTCCGTTTGCGCAAAGGGCGTGGTTTTCAGACACAGTGAAGTAACAATTGACACGCTTATTCGCGTTCATCTGTACCTGTGAGTACATTTCGCGTGTCATTCGTGCGTGATAAGTGCTGGACACGTTTCGATCTGCTTGCCATTTTTCGCGTAACCTTCCAATTTGTTGCTATCAGCGTTCATTGCTTCGCCTTTGCCGCAAAGTTGTGACTTTTTTAGTCATATATGCGAACAACACAAAGACGCGGTGAACGCGCAGCCTGCACCCCTCGATCTAAGAGACGTGGGTGGTCGTGTGACTTTGTGTCACACACACCAGCTTTTCGCCGAGGTACCCCGGGACATGTCTGCTTAACAGTTTTCGTATCCTGTAACTACGACAGCAACCTCCACGCTGAAACGAGGGGGGCAGTAGACGAAAACCTTGTCGCAACAATTCCACATCTAAACAGCGAATACGTTTTGCTATGCAGTCATAATGAGCGCTTCCTTTCGGTGTGTTTATGCACGTTTAAGTTTTGTTTGTTGTATGGTTGGTTGTGGCTCGTGTTCTTTTACGGCACACTGCTTTATACAGTGCCGGAAATGACGTCTGTGTTTAAAAATGCTGCACAAAAGTATCCGCGTGCTTCTTTTAAAGAATAGCGCCATCGAACCACCTGCAATGGACACAGTGGTATTTGCACGTGGCCAAAAATCAAACAAAACAATAGAAGAAAAAAAATCAAGTCAGCTTTGTCCGAGTGGTTCTAAGCCTGAATGCGGAACTGGGCATCATTTTTGTTTCTTTTTTCGTTTTGCCTTTCGCGCCTTCTGTTTCTTTCTCATTTTTCTTTGTCTTTTTTTCTGTCTTTATTTCTATTATATTTTTCTATTTCGTCCCCTTTCTCTTCTTGCTATTTTTCTCCTTTCACTCTCTCTGATTCGCGCTTGGCTCCTCTTTGTTTTCGTCTCTTTTTATCCATGGTTTCGCTTGCGTTACGCCAAGTGGTGTAGTTTTTCTAATGATAATGGCAAGTGATCATCATCAAGCCCTCAAAGAATATAACGCAGAAGTTTTCCTTTTGGCGCGAGCGCGCGTTCAACACTCTGCACATGGAGCGCACGACAGCCCGGCCCCCTAAAGGCTCCGCCCTGCTACGCGTGGCTGTTCTACTATTAGCGCATGACGGGTACTTCGAAAGCTGGTCGCCACTCTTGCCAAATAACCAGCACCGTTGGCGTAGCCACTAGGGATTTAAATCGACCGGGGGAGGCGAATCCCGGCCGCATTTTTGATGGAGGCGTGAGGCCCGTGGTCTAGGCGCATGCACCTTAAAGAAACACAGGTGACCGATATATCCGCAGCCCTCGGCGCCCTTCATTATCATATTGCCATGTGCGTTATAGCCTCACTTTTGTTTGATTCGAGATTTGCTTGTGCGAAGACCAGTGATAAGGCTGGAATATTCGATGACACGTGTATAAATGCCACCGCGCTTCGCCGCTTGTCAGTTGATCGACGGCCGACGTTTTGTTCGCCGCTGTCGGTGCCAGTGTCTTGCTGACTTTTCCTTTAAAAGGCCACAAGTTCGGCCCAGTAAATAGTTTCATCTCAACACCAGTCTGCTCCCTTCGTCCGCGTCACGACCCCGTGACAATAGACACATTTAGTTGCGCGTCCGCAGCAGCCGTACGGATGCAGCCTCCCATTGCAAATGGCTGCGTCCGTACTGCTACTGCGGACGCGCAACTAAAATAGCGGTTTCGGGACGTTAAAACGCAGTGTTAACGCAAGAGCGTGAATCAGCTCGTTTCACAGAAATTCCGGCGTCGGCGGTTGTGAGCGAAAAATGAGCTTATCCGTGGCCGAAAAATCGTGAATGAAGCAAATACAATAATAGAAAAAATTCTGGGTCTCAGCGGGGTTCGAACCCGGGTCGTTAGCGTGGCAAGCTAGGGCTTCACCAGAGCCGCCTCCTCGGCTTGGAAATGCAGTATATGTAACTTTCATGCTTTACAAACACACACGAGGCCCGTTCGCAGTCCCAGCGCGGCCAGCAACTGCAGTGGACGCCTCTTAGGGGGGTTTCTCATCGGTTCTCCTATACCAAATAAAGTTCATTTCACCCACTCACTCACGCGTCCTGTATACATGGTTCACACTACGATATAATATATCGCTGCAATAATGTGTGTACAAGAGCACATTTGCCATCGGGCATCAGAATAGGCAATTATCATTACCACTTCATGGTTTACAGCTGCTCACCCACTACAAAAGGCACACACGTTAACTGCTCCAATTCCTTAAGGCCATATAGTGGGTGCATAGTAAGCTCGAAAGAATTTTATGCGCTAAATGTTTGAAGTAAGCACTAGCGACAGGATATTGCTGTCGCGTTCAAATCTTAAAAACGAGGCTTTAGGACCCCCCAATTTGTCAAGGGGCGATAACATACTGGCAAAAACCTTCGCAACAGTATTAGCCAGGTGTCGTGAAGAGCAGTCGGAAGCATTGTGACCTTGAATAATAGGACAAGTGCAGCTCTATTTGTGAATTCCACTATTTTTGGCTTTCAATTTGAATTGCAGCTGTGACAAATGCACTCGGTAATCTCCTTGCTTGCGCTTCATATGTTTCTGTTACTATCGCATCCTCTACAAGCGACCGACCTTCTCATGCACGTTGGTTCACAGTCTGGCTGTAGCAGACGATGCGCGAACACCCCACAGAAGTGCATCCGCTGTGGTTACGAAGTGCTCAGTCCATGTCTGTGGTCATTGAGATAGTCATCCTGAAAATTAGGCGCAGTTTGGTACTCCCTCATTCGCACATGCAACTACTCAAGACCACACCCCCACAAAAAGTGCTCACTATGAACTATTTATCAACAGAGTCCTTGGCACACGTGCATCAGCGTTTATGTATAGGGGTTCCTTTACGCAAAATTGTTAGCTAGCGCTCTTAGTGGGATGTTGTCGTGACTAATTTTCAAGATAGCGCGTCACCAGTAAGCCCGACAGCAAGTTCTGATGCAGGGGCATGTGTATTGATGCGAAGAATGGCTCTTTGCTGATGTGATGCAGCGCTCGGAGTCGGCGACCTGTGAGAGAAGCAGTAGGGACGGCTGCTGTTGCCAGGAAGAGTCCTGACCCGGCAGCGGTGGGCGTTGCAGCAGCAGCATCAGTGCAGCCGGGGGCCATGTGGGGCCTCGAGTGATGGGACCCCAGGGGGGCTCGATGGGCTCCAGCGGAGGGAGCCCCGCTGCCCGGGACGGCCTTGTCTGGGACACCGAGAACCCCGCTGTGCCAGGATTCTCGCTCCGCGCTGCCTCCCTGGATGCCGCACTCAGGTTCCTCATCGACTGCTTCTGTGAGTCGAAACGCTTCATCGCCTGCACTCATCACCACATACTCACTCTAAAAAAAAAACAAGTCAATCGACTCCTTTTTCCTACACATATGGGACTCTCGCATGTAAAAATCTTTAAGCAAATATGTTTACTCCTTTATGAAGGCCTTGTCGCGAGATCTATGACATGATTCAGAGTCGTATAATTATGACTTTCTTTTGGAAAGTTGTGGCATGTATGACATTATTCAGAGTCATGTAACATTGATTCTTTTAGAAATCTGCGCGTCCTTGCTTCTCCCAACAAGCCTTTCTGAAGAGAGGCGTGTGACAGTCACATGGATAGCAAAAAAAAAATAATAAATAAAATTAATCTTTTTTTTTTTTGGAGTGTATAGTCTGTTACAACCTAAGTATAATAAGGACTAACACCAGTTCTGTGGCATGCCTTTTATTCATCTATGCAAGCTAAACTTTCCCTGTTCCATGTTCAAAAATCACGTTAGAATGAGTACTGAACACTGATTATTTCCTGAAATTTGCCAGAAAGTTAGGGGTGTGAAAAATTAGGGGTGTGAACATGTCGGTCTGGGAATGTTGCCTGTTTTAGTTACGTGAGAGTTCTTTGGTGTCGAGTAAATAAGCAATAGCTTTTGGAAGGGGCATCAGTGCAAAGTCTTTCAGGAGGTGACAGCGACGGCTGTAGGTGGAGATTAAATTAATTATTAGTTTGTGACTGACTGTAATAAGGAATCCTTGATCATGCTTCTTTCAAGCGCTGCCTTCACACTCGCGAGTGCCTGGCAGTACATCTGTCTAAAATAAATCCTTTTTTTATCATCAATTTCAGCACATCGAAACTTCGAACCCCAAAAAAATATTTTTGGTCCCATAGCATGGCTGGCTATCATCGGGACCAATGGTTAAGCATACCGCATAAATCAGCAAACAGTACCAACAGTGACAAAATGGGACAGGTATAAATACAAGTACTAGATTACACAATACACCTTTAGTGACAAAGAAAAGCACATGGATTATTTGTCATGGATGACTTATCAAACTAAGCCACTTTCCGTTAATATAAAATGCTTCCTCGCCGCAGAAAAGTTGTGTGCCGCTTTCACATCGGTTGGTACGGCATTAAAAATGAAAGCGCCTTGAAATTCTATTATATGTCAGCGTGACACTTTATACAGAATGAGGAAGGGTCTACATTCATCTGTCACCTTAGGATTTTTTTATGATTAATCAAAAACAAAATTATACAAATAAATTTATCTTTTTTCCACTGTGCTATCATAACAAAATGGCAAACATCATTTAGTATGTGATAAGGAATGTATGGCTTAAAATTGGTAGAATGAATAGATGACACAAGTGGTTGAATGAAGAAATAAAGGAATATATAAAATAGCGTAGACAAGTGTCTAGTAATTACATGCAGTGGCACTGATAGTTGAGTGACTTCGTGTCTTCTCCATAGTATGTCCGAAAACAACGGAAACCACCATATGATTATGAAAGACGCCGTAGTAGAGGGCTCCGGAAATTTCGACCACCAGGGTTTTTTTAACATGCACCCAAATCTGAGCTCACAGACCTACAGAATTTTCGCCTCCATCGAAAATGCAGTCGCCGCCGGGATTTGATTTCACGACATGCGGGTCAGCAGTGGAATACCTTAACCACTTGACCATTGTGGCGAGGCAGCTGTAGTCGTGCTTAGAAGTATCTAATTTTAATGCGATCTGTGGCAGCACATTCGGGAAGGATGAAGACTATAAATGACCTAAAAGTGCGAAGAAACGGGAAAAAATAGGTAATTACAAAAACCAGGAAATGCTTTAAAGGGCGACTCACCAGGCCTTATACCAAATTTTAGTTAGATTGTGGAAGTTTTTGGGAGTCCAATGAGGAACATTTTGCCACAAAAAATTTTTGAGTCGGTTCATTACTAGTTGAGAAAACGTTTTTTTTTTTTTTTTGAAGCGGCGTGAAACGAGGATGGGAGGAGGCGAGCTTAAGCCCTTGCAGTTCCTCCGCATAGTTTTCGTAAGCCAAATATCTTCCCCACCTTCTCCGGCATCCGACCAAAAGATCACGTGCGCATGACGTGCCCAAACAAGCCCAACCCCCGGGCCTGTGAGCGGCGTTTTTTTGTTGTTGTTGTTGATCACCATTGTTTTGAGGTTTACTGCCTGTTTCTGCGGGATGGTTTGGCAAGGCTGGCTTAGACGCAGGAGAATAGATGAGCACAATGAGTGTGCGAACTTGTCAGAGTGTTTCATGGTTACGGTTGTCGTCTGCTCAATGCGCTGGCCGCGGGGACACGAACGCGTACGAAACGCCGACACATTAGCCTCACATCTCGTCGCGATTCACGGTAGAAAAATAGAAAAAAGACGGTCACATTATCTTATTGCATCACATTATTTATCTCGAGATTTATTAATCTTTTCAAGAAACAAATTACATATACTACGCATGTCATGTTAAATAATTTTCGGCATGTCATGTGCCACTGTTAGCAACGTCAAATCACAGTCGTCTACGTAGAGGACCAACGTCACTGCGCTGCCGTGTAAGTAGGGCCATCTATGTATACACATCATGCCTTCATTCTCTGGGCACGCGCCCGCCTTAGGAAGGAGGAGCAGTGTTCATTTTGAAATTTGACCAATCTCCGCTGCGAGTAGCATTGCAAACTTTGGCAGACTTGATCGTGAACGCCTCATCCAGCATTGCACTTGTCGGCTCAAAATTGTCAAACCTGGTGAGTGGCATTTTAAAGGAAGGGATGGCTTGCGCCTACAAAATGTTGAAAAGTCTTTTTGCTATATGGCATGAAGTTTCTAAACGTTATGAAGGTTTCTTTTCATTTACCCTACAGGAGATGTTGAACTGACCACCCAAAACGTCATGCTGTTGCGACTTCAACAGCATGCTATCCCTCATTACATGTAATTTCGTGCAATGTCACGTTTTTCATTATTCCTAATAAAATTTTTTGGCATTGTACATAAAAAATGCGGCGGGCCATTAAATTATTGTTCTTCCTGAATCTTTCACCATAAACCACAATAAAATCAGATAACTTGTGATGGAATAATGGTGAACTTTCTTTAAGACAAACTCTGTTAAGATGAATTCCTGCTTAAGAGGAACAACATCGGAGTGTTTGTTTGGTTTCCCATAAGCTCAATGGGAAAAAAATCTGCTTAAGAAGAACCATGTGACAGGCATGCGACAGACGAACTCTCGCAGCGACCGACCATGACGGGGATTCTGCGCAACAAACATTGTAGTCTTCATGAGTGCATTCAGGCGAACAAGAAAAAGCAAAGTGGGGAAAAAAAGGAGAAATTTCTGGCGCAAGGACTCGAAGCATATTGAAAGCTAATTGCAATGTGGAATGAGAATGCGAGATACATAAATGGAAGAGAAAGGGCAACGCATAAAATTAGTATCTCCCTCACCCATAGCCTGTAAGGGGAGAAAGGGCCAGCTTCAACTGCAAAGAAAGCAACAAAGGCGTTCATCTTTTGGTATTCTCCTTGCGTTCTTCAGTTCCCCAACAAGAGTACAGTAGAGAACAGAAAAGCACAAGAGCTTGGCTTGAGGGTGAAGTGCAAGGAAAAGGGGGGTGGGTGAAGAAAAAAAGCCAAGTGAAAGTGACAACGTGAACAAATATTATTTGTACATTATAATCACATGAACTGGAAACCACATAGACACTGTTACTCTCATCAGAGGAGTTCGATGCATTAACCTCATCCCACTATGGCTCCAAGCACATGTTCTGGTCAGTTTGCATTGTTTTGCATAGGGTATGTGCACGTCCTATGTGTTCTCAGTGAAGTTCAGCAAACTATGATGAATCAAGCTGAAACTGCAGAGGACATAGCCGGGTATTCCAGCAGGGATGCTTCCTTCCGCCAATGTTAAGTTTCATGCTAAGGATGAAATAATGCTAGGGCAAGTATTCACACTAGAGTAAGTAATAAGTAGTGGCAGAAAAAACCCGGAAACAATTGAGCATACCATAATGGAATGCCGAGAGCTCCCTCTGCTAGACTTTCGGGAAGCATCGGCTTTCCAATTCCATTCAAAGTGGACAGACTCGTTTCCTGGTGAACAGCTCACAGAAGCGAGAAACATTTAGGATATCAGCTTAGGGAAATCAGCAGGTCATAGTTCCAGCAGTGTAAGTATCACTATGTTGTTCGGGCCTATAACTCTTTTACTGGGCAAACTTTTGCCATAAAATTAAGAAAGGCTAAGTCTGCAGGTGATGATCACTTAGAATAAATTTATTTATTAAAATAAATAAACATATTCTGACAATGGCACCAGTTTCAATTTCCATATATGCATTTTTAAAGTGTGTACTCTGTTAATCTGTGTCTGTTTAGACATATATGAATCAGCACTACGAACGTCTATTAAGGAATACCTGTTTTCCAATCACTTCAAACCCAAGTGTACATGTCGTCAGTTCTTGGTAAAGAAATACCAGCTGCAACGAAAGATATAAGAAACTGGGACGAGAAATAGACAGGGACAGCAAGGAGGCAATCTCTTTTTCTTGTCTCGTTTTCTTTTCCCTTCTCTTGTGCTGCTGGTATTCGCTTACCAAGAACTGTGTACCAACTTGCCCAATAAGCCACCATATAAGACGTCAGATCTACTCTTTTTTTCCTCTGTAATCTTGTGGATGAAATCTTTGTCTTTGCCACTGTGCAGTGCCCATCGGTGGCCTGGAGGATGACGACAACCGCTTCCCTTACATATTCCTCCTCATGCACCAGTGGTTTATTAAATCTGAGAAGCTGGCACGATGCCTTGTCGACCAGTATCCTTTGCTCAAGTGTGCCCGTCCATGCACATACATAATATTCTTTGCAGGTCTATTCACAAAGCATTATACTGTGTTTAGCTGAGGCATGGGTACATGAGGTATCCATAGTGAATGCTTTAATGTGACGTGATCTAAGGGAAGTAGTTTAAGAAGTGATTTTCGAACTCTCATAAAAAAATGGAGAAGTTTTATATACACAACATGAAAAATGTTATGCCTCTTCCAGCCAGCGTTAGGTAAATGTGCAGGACCATTGGATATACGGTTTTTTTATGTTTCTCTTGTGATTTGCTGTGCCTTTGTGTGATGTATGTTTTGTGATTTCGTGGGATTATATACGATTATGTTATTTTTAGAATAGAGATAGACATGAATGTCTATCTCTATTCTAAAAATAACGTAATCACTTCACGGTGCGGCCGCCGCTTCAATCATGATCGAGGCAGTTAGGCCATCTATGGGCGTATCTGGGAACACTCATTTCTTGAGCTGCAGTCATAGAATATCTGTACTGTAAAAAGGACTACCCTTAAAGTAATGACTTAAAAACTGATATGAAGCTATATACTCGGGGTGAAGTACAAAATACAATCATAAGTAACTTTGAGGAAAAAAAAGGGACTGGAGTGCCTCTGGTTCACTTCATTAAAATGTTGACTCTCTACCATAGTTAAACTTCAAAGAGCTGCCCACCATTGTATGTGTTAACATCGTCAAAAAACAATTGACCGTGTCTGGTTATCGCTGGCTGGATCGAGCCCTTGACGCACGAACCAGATATATGACCAGCAATACTCAGCATCGATGTGTGCTGCCATGTGTTCATACTCTGCAGCACTCAACGCACTGTCCCATTTACAAGCACAAGGCACAGGTGTGCCAGGTGTTCAGGTAAGCAGTATTTTAAAATACAATCAAGCGGTCTCACAAACCAATGAGCTATTTTGTATATGATGTCGAAGCAAGCATGCTGTCTTAGGTGGTGCAAAACATTTGCAATATGGCATCTCACTTGTACAGTATACCCCCATGGTACATCATAGGCTAAAATAAATTGTAGCACCGGTTGCAGCAAGATATCAAAGGCATCTTCATTCAAACCATAAACTGCAAGATAAGCTTCTCTAATGATTATCCACACAGTCCTTGGGTGCTGCAAAATTTGTTTACAGGAAGTAAATGCGTGCCTTTGTAGTTCAAATGTTTGATATTGCCTCGGCACACGCTTTTATTTTTTCTCGAGAAGATTGGACATTTTGTTCAGCAGAGTGATCAATTTATCTAAATCTTAGTTTTTTGGTGCAATCTTTCTTCCTTTCTTTTTTTCTTTTTTCTTTCTTTCGTTGATCGTTGATGGCTTGAATGTTTTTGAGGTCAGCCCCGTTTAAGCACTGTCAAAAGTTCAAAATGCAGGATTTTAACTAGTGTAAATAGCAATAAAATCTTTCCTAAAAAGCTCATTGCAGGTGATTTATTAGATTATGCAATGCATTTTATTCTCGTTGATCAGTGCCAACGCTGAACTCTTCTTTCACAAAACGTTTAACTCTTATTTCATGAACTATTCTTTGACGAAAAGAATATTAAGCATGTGTGTTGAAATAGTTCGTGTGACATCGAGAAACCTTCTATTTTTCAGTTTCTCTTTTGATGGGTACTAGATAGTTCAGATGACCTATTGCGATCTCAGTGAAAGCTAGTTAAGGGGGTACCGACACAAAAATCTCCAGTTTAAGTTTGAAGTGTATTAGCATGAAATAAAAATTGTGGTTTCTTGGCGTCAAAGGATAAGCCAAGCCTCTAAGAGCCTATAAAATGTTCACGGAAACCTGAATGCTTCCTGAAAAAGTAATTACAGCATTTTTTTGGAGGCTAGATTTGGTTCATACTGTACGCCGACTCACAACACGATATGAATTTCTAGTTAAGTGCTCGCGCAAGATATGGCGATGTTTCCACAACCTGCTTTTTTCTGGCTCATTGGTGACGTGTTCATTTTGAATGTTTTTTGTACATGACATCATCAAAACTGCCCACACTGGTGCGTGAAGTCAGCACAATTGAGATTATAGCCTGACGTCATTATAGTGATGATGTCACCATAGTGGTATACAACTTAAGAAGTCTGGAGAGGCCCCGCCCAGGTAATCGAAGTGCAGCAGCAGCCTATAAGGCTCTGCCTTAGCATCTGCACGACTGAAGACCCGTTCGTGAACTCGCCAACGTTTTCTGGAGGCAGGATTACCAGCCGCCCATCTCATGACGTCACTTCGAAGTGCACGTCTATTGGATGGTGATGAGGATGTTGTAGGCTGCTGGTGGATTTAGCCTTGCGAAATTTTTAGGCGATTTCCCCACCCACTTTCCTCTTTTCAGATTGTGTAGCGGGCATTCGCCTTCTGAAAAAGAAAAGCCATGGACTTTCGAAGTTGTTTCCAACTATAGGTGCGCCATGTAAAAATCTACCTAATGTCAAAATGAAAAACCTAATCAACTTCACACTTGCTCAGAGCTGTATACACGATATTTGTTCGGCAGAGTAAACTCGCGCGCGAAGGTTGTGCCGGTACGCCTCTTTAACACCTCTCTTCATTCGCTGTAATGCCCTCACGGGATCCAGATTCTGGATGCTCAAGTTTCCCCAGCACCTTGAGGCCGAGGGAGTGCTGCCACGGGTGGCAGCGCTGCAGTCGCGACTGCGTCAAGAGGGCCACACGGTGCTGGCCGACCTAGTGGACCTGACCCGCAGGCCCTCTCCCCGATCCGAGTGGGCACGGGCCGTGTCCGTACGGCTGCCGCTTGCCAAGCACACGCGCAAGGTGTCTCTTGTGTTCGACCACCTCGAGCCCAGAGAGCTCGCCGACCACCTCACCTATCTGGAGCACAAGGTCATGAAGCGCATCACGGTGAGTAGTGCCTTCTGATCTTTCGGCCTCATGCTGTTTGCTATGGTGGTGTATCAACTAGAGCTTGGCTGCCGACTTGAAGGTCACGGCTTCCATCCTGGACGTGGCGGTCGCATTTCAACGAAGGTGAAATGGTAGAGGCCCGGGTACTGTGCGATGCGGTCCACATTAAAGAACACCTGATGATCGTGACTTCTGGAGTCCTCCACTCTACAGCGTCCCTCATAATCGTGTCGTGGTTTTGGGACGGTAAATCCAAAATCATCATTGTCTTCTTCTTTCTTTCTTTATTATTATTATTATTATTATTATTATTATTATTATTATTATTATTATTATTATTATTATTATTATTATTATTATTATTATTATTCCTCCATCTGACGCGTAGTGGCAAACTAGATCTCTCTTTGTTGCTGTAGAGATCGCTGCCTTTTTTGTACATCTTTAGGTAAATACATGCACGCAAATACCCAAAATCATTTTGAATCCATTGGCCGAAGAGGACTTGAAGACAAAATTTATCTGGTGTGGGCAATTTATTGTGCCCTTTATATCATGTTAACGCCGCTTTGTTTTTATTATATATCACACGAGTGCACCAAATGTAGTCACTGAATGCACCAAAACGAGATCAACGTGAAGCTCTCGTGTCTTGAGCCTTGAAACATTTTGCTTTGATATTTCTGCACCGTTTCTTGAACACACCAGATTTTCCACCTGATGAGGTTTATAAGGCTTTCGCCTTAAAAGAAAACGTTTATAATATGCCCCGTTGCACAATATAGACATGCAAAAATTTTGACTATCACCATGGCAGCCATTTGGCATTCAATCCAGTGAGTGAGTGACGATTCAATGGGTACCTGCCTGCTAAAGTGTACATAGAAAACCGAGTTAAGTCCAGTCGACCCTAGCGGTCGCTTAATGCGATGTAACATGCATCATAACGCCGGTACATTATATATCGTGTAGTTGCGAATGCAGCGTATACGAATAGTTCACGACGACGGCTCTTACTTGTTCCAAGGACATCACCTAAGATGGTCACTTAGCTGCGTATTGCGTACTGTGCAGCGAAAACACAAAACTAGTCTCTGTCCGTTAGCCTCGTCAGTTTCCGCTGCGAACTTTGCACTGTTTGTCACAGAATAACCAAGCAATTATTCTGTTATTTTCTCATTGCTTGACTCGCGTCATATACCTACTCCAACCGTACATGTATACCGTTTCTACCCACCATCACATGTTTTTTTTCCTCTATTATTGACTCTTCTCTATTATCAGTGACTCTCCTCTATTACCAGTGACTCTTATCTATTTTTTCTATCATTGACTCTGTCAAGTCGACACTTCTATTCCTGGAACTCTTGGCTCATTGCCACTAAATGCAATTAGTCAACATTAAAATAAGTTTGTGTTTGCCTTCACTCTAGAGTAGACCATGCGTTGTCTGATATGCCAAGAAAATATGCCACTGTGGTGGCAATTGCAGAGGCACTCTGCTGCCGATTGCCCCGCCACGATGGTCTAGTGGCTAAGGTACTTGGCTGCTGACCCACAGGTTGCGGGATTGAATCCCGGCTGCAGCAGCTGCATTTATGATGAAAGCGAAAATGCTGTAGGCCCGTGTGCTCAGATTTGGGTGCATGTTAAAGAACCCGAGGTGGTTGAAATTTCCGGAGCCCTCCACTACGGCGTCTTTCATAATCGTATGGTGGTTTTGGGATGTCAAAACCCCACATATCATATATATTTGCTGCCGATTGTGGGTCTCATTCTCAGCTGCATGTCACGAGATTAAATCTGAGCCGCGGCGGGTGCATTTCAGGAGAGGCAAAATGCAAGAGGCTCATGTGCCTGGATTGAGATGTCTCTCAAAACTGTCTCTCATAATGATATTGTCATTTTGGGATGCCAAACCCTCATTACTATTCAATCTCGGCTATATCCCGATGGGGTCGGAATACAGAAAAAGCTAATGTGGCATATTTTGTGTGGACGTTGGAAAATACTTGAGTATCTGTGTGAGATTTGGGTATTTTCACGAAAGCATGTCTCATAGCATTAGCGTGTTTGCCCAGCATTGCCCGGTGTATGATTCATGCTATACACTGAATTTTACGCCTGAAATCATATTCTGCAGTGCTGTAAGCTCTTATTTGAGCATAGCTATTCACATGCGGTAAAAACACTTTGGCAGCCTTTTTCATTTGTTGTAGTGAAACTTCTGCAGTGTGCAATTCAGAAACGTTACTAAGGGTTTAATAAAACACTTTACTATGCAACCCTATACTCGATGAATGCAAATTTCACCATTTAGAGTCCCCAAGGCCAGAAGAAAAAGCAAGCAAGTTGTTTTAGTTATCGTCAGTGTAAAACTGCGTTTTGAGGGTTACTTATGTGGTTGAAAAGCTTAAGAAAAAGCGGCTTGTTGTTGTTTCAGTTCCTGGACTTCAAGCAGTATGCAGAGCAGGGTACGCTGGCAGACAACCCTCGCCTGGAGCGCTCCATCTCGCAGTTCAACGGCCTCTCCCAGTGGACGCAGTGCATGGTGCTCTCACGCTCCACACCGCAGCAGAGAGCTGATGTCATCGCCAAGTTCGTAGACGTCGCTAAGGTGTGCTGGCCTGCTCAAATGAGCTCTTTCTTGATTCTTACTGTGCCCGGGAACACCCGCCACGGTGTTCTACCAGTTATGGGGCTCGACTGCTGGTCCCAAGGTCACGGTATTGTATCCCGGCCACGATGGCTGTTTTTTCGATGGAGGCCAAAAGGCTTGGGACCCGTGTACTTACATTTATAGGGGCACGGTAAAGGACCCCAGGTGAACGAAATTTCCAGAGCGCTCCAATGCAGCGTCTCTCATAATCATATGTGGGTTTTGGGACGTCAAACTCCAACAATTATCATTATTAGTATCAGTATAGGAACTAATAATTTGTTGAATATTTTGTCTATGGCTCTCCGTATAGACATATCATTTGCCCCTTCTTTCAATTTGCATGCAATTAAGTGTTACATTGTTGATATAGACTAAAGGGACATTCGCTCCCGATTCCACTGAAGGCAGCTGATGCCACGATACTTTTTTCCTTAAGTTACTTTAGGGTTGTGGCACCTCCTTCTTGCCTGGCAGCCAACACTGTTAACAAATAACCTGTGGTTGGGGGGATGAAGTGTCACTAGAACTACGAGCGGCTTGAGCACAATGGCCGTGTTAAGTAGAATGACACCACAATACCGTACCGTATTTGCGTACAGTATTTCCGTAATTTACTATTGCTAGAGGGCTCTATTTTAGTTCCGCTACGAGTACTTCTCTCGGCATATGGTGCTCCCTTTGGTGCAAAGACTGAGTGAACATAGATAGCCGACCGCATCGAATGTGCAGTGTCTGCGTGCCTATGATGTTAAAGTATGCGTACACCCCTATCTCAAAGAATTGAGAGGCAATGCGATTCATTTACTTGCTTCTGCTTGCGCTGCTCTTAATGATAGGCATTATGAAAAAGCCACACCTTTGCCCCAAAGGTGAAGCAATGAATGCGATAGCAACAAACTGGAATGTCATGCGAAAAATTGCAAGCATATCAAAACGTGCCCCGTGTTGCTCACGCACAAATGACGCACGAAACGTATTCGCAGGTGCAGATGAACGAGAATAAGTGTTTGTTACTTCGCATTGTCTGAAAAGCGTGCCCTTTTCGCAAGTGGAGACTGTGCAGCGAGTGCAGTGACCTTTGTGTACACGGTAACTACAACGAATTCATTCCAGTGAAAGCCTAAGGCGTACGATTCTGCCCACCGCGAGATAAGCATGTGCAGGCGTGGGCGTCTACACTCCACCCCCACCCCCCCCATCTAGATGCAAGGCAAAGTATGCGTGGGAGGTGAACGCATCAGTGCAAATTGCCGCGTCGCGACGATCTAGTGACGCGCACTCATTGAGCCATCTTGTTGGCAATGTTAAAAACACGTTTCCCCGAGATCGCCAATGCCAGGGGTAAGTGGTAGATATAAATAGCTTGCCGTCTCTACGTTGAACGAAGTGCTCATTCGTGGTTTAGTGGCTAATGCCCCGCACTCACAAGCAAGAGGTCGGAGGTTCGATTCCGCGCCCCGGAGTCTTCTCGTGGATTATTTTTCTTGTCGCGATTTCATATATAGATTCACATACATATACAATCAATGACAACAATCACCAACGCCGACACCGGGGGAAAATCTAGTCCAGCCAAGAGTGTCCATATAGTTGCTATCGCAATAAAACCCATCGCTCGCGGTTGTGGAGCGCTATGTGTTCATGTTTGTTTCTCTCTGTACGCATGACATATGTCTTTATACCTTAAATAACACAATAGCACCACTTTTGGTCACGTGCAAAGGATTCATGTGATTCATGAGAATAGACGTCACTTGTGAGTAGAGCAGCAGGTGGCTGTTGACTGTGGTTCTAGCAGTATAGTGATGCCGCAGAAGTTGTGAGAATCGCAAAAGCCCCGCTTCTTGAGGCCTGACCACACGTACGCGTTGCAGTGCATCAGCGCATGGCGTGCAGATTCAGTGCCATGACCACTCTCAATGAAGGAAGATGGGAAGTGGCTACACGAAGTTGCGCGCCTCCTATCTCTCTCTACATAGGGAGAGGGCGTGAAGCCGACTTTACAAGTCGCGCTATGACGTGTGCGTGTATTCAGGCTGTTCTGTTTTAACTATTCAGGCATTTAGGTTAGTGGCCCCGCAGTGTTACAGGCCAAACATATATACTAAAAAAATAGCAGTACTTATGTGAAGCCAGCCAGAACAGTCCCCTTTCATTAAAAGGGCCCTGCAACACTTTTTTAGAATAGTCGGAAAGTGCTGCCGATTGGTAGTGGAGGCTCCGGACAACACACTAACCAAATATTATAGCGCAGCAGGCGGCCTCAAATTCTCAATAAATTATCAAAATCGGCTAAATATCTTTCTCTTCTCTCGACAATACATGCAATAAGCCTGAAAATCACTCGTAGTAAGCCCATCTGTCAGCCATTGGCTGATTTGAACATGGCGCGCTCGGCCGTTACAGAGGTCGCCGCGGGAGGCCGTCACACTTCCATGCGTACGCGGGCAATCGCACTGAAAAGCCGCATATTCAAAGAAAAAAAAAAAGAAAAAAGTGCTCAAGGTCGCAAGGCGCGCGTGACGATTTTTGTTTGCCCCCTCCCTTCCCTCCCTGCTTAGCTTCTAGCGCTTTCGTCAGGACGAGAGAACAGAGAATGTGATTGCAACGTGTGACAAATCTTTGTAACTTCGCTTGTACTGGACGAATTCTTAAAATTTTTGCAGCATTGAATTTGTGAGGCAATATGCTTTTCCAGTGAGTTAATTCCATGGTTACTCAAAAAAGTGTTTCAGGGCCCCTTTAAAATATTATGGCAGTAATATGCATAAGCGCAAACTGTACTGCTTCCATATTATATGCTTATTGGTTCCCATTGCTTTTCATGGAGCCGCCATTACATGTGATGTGGCAACACCGCGCTGCCCTATGCAGAACCTGCTGGAGCTACAGAACTTCAGCTCCCTGATGGCAGTCGTGGGCGGACTGAACCACAGCGCACTGGCGAGGCTGTCTCAAACGACCACTTGCCTACCAGGAGAGACGAGGCGCACGCTGGCACAGTTCGCTGCCCTGCTCTCATCGGCGGGCAACTTCTGCAACTATCGCAAAGCACTGGCCGAGGCACGGGACTTCAGGATACCCATCCTGTGAGTCTATGGAAACCGTCCTTTACATGAGAGAAGTATATCTAATATATGAATACCATGCTACTCGAACCAATAGTCCTTAAGGGAGACTAGACAAGAAGGCAGTTACCTAAGTAAATCACTCTTTCGCAATACCAAAAACACCTCGCTTGCAGCTAGAAGGAGCTCGGCAAATGAGAAAATGTGGGCAGTGCTGCTACTTTGGTCTGGCGTGATGTCACAGATCTTGATGGTGTCCACAAACGCGTATACCTAGTTTCCTATCTATGAAAATAAAGTGGCATTGTTTTCTTAGGAAGCCAGAGACTTAACTTATACGAAGCTTCATGAAGTTTCCTTCTACAACAGCCGCCAACATGCGAAAAATTAACTTTGAGAATGATTTACTCCTTTATCAATAAACTTATTAGTGTGGTGAAATTAACGATATTAGAGGTCTCATTGTACAATTTATTAATATAAACCGATTAACTTTTTCATTTTAGTGTGCCTCTAATGAAGCCCGTGTCATCTTCCAAATTTTCTCTCCGCCTTGTGACCCATCCAGTTACACATCTTTCCGTCACTGTAGCCTTCCATTGATGGCTCGTATCTCTTCTATGATCAACTTAAGCAAGGCACAGAAAGACGACTGCACAAAGCCTAACATGCGCTCATGCAAGAAGCACGTAGAATAACAGGGAGCAGAGCGAATTGGTAAGGATTCATGTGGGAGCCGACCGTCGATTAACTTGCATAAGAATATAAACAGATGTCCTCACAGCTATCTTTCACATAGTCCCCCATGCGTGCCAGATTGAGAGGTTTGTCTATTACATGCGCTTGTACACATATGTTTTAACACCTTTTTTTTTCGCGATTGCATGCCCTTGTAGTTGTTAGTATAGGCATGCATGGTGTCCTGGCTTTATTCCTCTGTCTGCGTTTGCACGCCTAGTCTATTAGACCAAGCGCATGTTGTTGTGTATTGCTCTTTGTGTAGCCACATTTTTTTATTGTGCACTGCTTAAATTAATGAACTGACAGGGACTTGCTCGTGTTACCGTCGCATCACGTGGTGACTCGTATGACACGACATGCCGTGTCATCACAGGGGTGTGCACATGAAAGACCTCATCTCGGTGCACGTGGCGCTGCCAGATGTCGTGGACGGCATGATAAACCTGCGCAAGATGGCGCAGCTGTCTCACATATTCCAGGAACTCTGGGAGCTGCAGCACTCCCCTCCACCCCTCGACGTCAGCATGGACCTCATCAACACACTCAAGGTATGCACGTGCGCTTTTACAAGCACTGTTAAACTTTAACGTTGCATTCCACTATTTCAGGCTAAATTTGTGAAATCTTGAAATGCTCGTATACCAGATCCATTATTTTACCACACATTAATTAATTAATGAATTAATAAAAATGCCCAGCACTTCCGCCAGTTAAAACACGGCGTTTTGGCGCAGTGCTTCTTCAATGTACAATAAGAACTGTCATGGCAGATCGAGGAGCAAGACCAGCAGAGCAGACGCAGATTTTCTGACGCACGTACTCTAACGCTGTTTTTTTTTTCTGCTTGAAAATGATGCCTTGAGAAATGGCGCTGATATTCTTTCATGACAATGTGTGTGTACGGTAAAATAGAGTAGGGAACACATGGCTCTTAATCTCAAAGAAAAGGTGTACATGTGTGCCGTCCATCAGGTTTCCCACTTCCTTGACGTCATGATGGAGGCCCTTGAAGTACCGCCTTCTCTCGTTTCCCTCCAGCAGAAAGGACCACTACATTGAGGTCTTGTACGTGGTTCTTCCACTGAATGTCCATTGTTCATTACATGAGAACATATTTCAACTAAGCGTCGCTTTACTGTGCGCAATATTACATTGCTCATTTCTTAATTAGATCTAACTGACAATCATGCTAAAGAAATTATAGGGGATGTTGTTAGAAGTAATTGTAATGTAAATGTGAAGAAAAAAAAGTGTACGAAAAGATAACTTGCCACGGGCAGAGACCGAACCTACGACCTTCCAATAACGCATCCAATTCTGAGCTACCGGCAGCTATCCCCCCATCCACTTTATAGGGTATATATGTGCACTGGGGAGATAGCCATGATGGTAAGTGTGCACCACTCTTTATATGCCTGTTTAGCATTACGTAGCACATGAACTTATTACGACGTGGAAGCTCACAAATAATCCCTCGTATACTACCTGAAGGCATCCAGTTTGCTAGAGAAAGACACTCCTTATGAATGAAAGAAAGAATGTATACCGTAATGTATTTCTTCATTGTTTATATGTGTGGCGTAGAGTGCTTCTCACACAGGTGAGCGACACCTAGTTCAGTTCGTTTATTGCTTTCAAAAAGAGTAGTACAAATTCAAAAAGTATACAGACGAGGGCCCTGAAGTAAAAGAATTGTAGCGGACAAGGCAACGGAATGACAAACTCAGTCTTTCAACTTTTCGATGGAACCAGTGCTGCGTGTGTGCTGCGCTTTGTTTCTGTCCAGTGAATGCTTACTGCTCTGTCTCATTCGTACACTGTTAGGATTACGGTATACACGAGGGGAGCACGCTCCTTTATGTTGATAGCATCGTTGCTGAGTTGTCTGCATGAGCGGGCAGGTTAAACACACTCTTCATTCAGGATAAATTTTGTACGACCTTTGGTCTAATGCAGTGTCATCACTTTTGGCTCTGTGCTAACCAGGTACTACGTGTGCGGGTAGTTTCTGCCAGAGTATTTCAGTTTCTTACTGCATTGTTGAAGCCGTAAAGATCAGATGCCAAATACGTTGTGCAGAGATCAATTACGGAAATGCAGAGCTGTTAATATGCAATAAGGAAGTCTTTTTTTGCTTCATTACTGCCGTTACTTCTCAGCAGCGCTATAACTGCGTGCGACTTTGCTGCTTGTAGCTGCAAAACTCCTCACCTGGTTTCACGTTAGTGGAGCTTAAACACTCTTCCCTGCATGCTTTGTCCCTCTGCATTTTACGTAATGCGGTCGTATATTATTTTCAATAGCCTTTTTTTTTTTCGGCAGGGGCACTCATAAAAGCGGAAACGAATTTACAAAGCACTGTGGTTATACGAGGCGTATCAAGAAGCCTCTGCCATCATTCTTTAAGCTTCACACAAAAGCTTTTGCGTTAATTATAACTACCCACCCACTCAAACCGACTATTGGCACTATCATAAGCCGGTCATCTGTGTCTTTTCTTTCGCTTGCAGCTCTCCTTAGACACCGCTTACACTGAAGACGAGATCTTTGAACTTTCTCTTGCCAGAGAGCCAAAGGCACCCATGGTACGTACCGCCACTTAACACTTTTTTGCTGTTCGGAGACATAACTAATTTTGTGAAAAACTACACGTAACATATATACGCGTTTTACCAGCACAGTATATATTTATATGACTGTTGCTCATGTTTGTGTTTAATGTTATACTATGCATGCTACATTTTATTTGAACATCGCCTTGTATATACATACGTGTGATTGTTGACTATGTTGTCTTAACTGTTACGCTGTGGCTTCATGAGATAATCAATCCACATAAGGTATAACTTTGGGATGTTATGTAATGGGACATAATTCTTTGTACTATTCTAATGTTCTATTGCTGCATCATGATGATCTTCAAGCTGTATATTGTATAGGTGCTGCGTAGTTGCAAAGTCTGGAAATTTTGGTCCCTGTGTATTTTATGTTCGATAAGAGCTCAGGAGTAGCCGGCACATGCGCCAACATTACCTTGCATCATGTCGATATAAAAAAAAGAATGTGTTGCTATTGGACATGACGTTCCGTTATTTCCAGGTATCTCCATCGAAGCCTCTCGCTATGGAATTTGCATCCAGAGTCCCGGAAGGGACTGATCTGGCTCTCGTTGAGAAGCAGATCTGCGACATGGTGGAAGTAAGTCAAGCCGAAGCTTATTTTTTAATTATTTAATTTTTTTATAGCTGCGAGTGAATTACATTTTCAAAATCTGAATGTTGTAAGGCTGTGAAAAATGTGGCCATGACACTGAACTCCCAAGTGCCAAGGCACTGGCTAGACGCCCGGCCACAGTGTCTGAATCATTTTTGCGGGGGTAAAATGATAGTACATCTGTGTACTTGAGCTTAACTGTACGTTGAAAGGATAGAAAACCGGTAGCCAATAAGAATATCCGAACTCTGCTATGGTGTGCCCCATAAGTATATTGTGGTTTCAGCATGTAAATCCTAAAATGAATAATAACATTTAATGAATAATAACATCTGTAATTTCAAATTCTTAAGCAATCTAACCCTCAGAATTGTTTTCCACCTCACACGCATACATCTAGGTGGTCAATTGTAAATGTCGCTGCAAGACCTCGCAAACTCGCCATGCTTATACCTGCCCGTCTTTCATTGCGTTCGAATTTATCTAATGAAGTAACGCAGCACTAGCATCTTCACTGCAACGACATCATAGCAGCAAACAGAGAGATAGCAGGTGCAGTTGCGCCGAGTTATTTGTGAGTGATGGTTAACTGGACCTTGTAAGAAAGCATGTAACCGCCGTCATTGTCTACGCTCTGTTTGTTCGTGTAAGATAAAAGCCGTAGAAGAAAAAAGCTGTTATTGATTTATTAATGTAATAAGGTAAAGGAGTAGTCGCAGATTAGAACCGGGCCCATGTCTTATTGAATGAGGCCATAGCGCTGAAAATACAATGACGAAGGAAGAAGACAGGTTGGGTACCTAAACGTATGAGTGTGACGGCTGTTGATGCATTTGTCATCGTGCATTTCAGCGTAATCACTGGCCAATGCGAGTTCCAGAATGTTCACGTGCTGCTTGCATCCCGATGAAAACAGTCGGTAGCATTCTAAGCAATTCGTCGCACGGCACGTCTTGTGCCGATCGGAAACTTCATAACACTTGTTGCCGATGAGTTATAGTGCCACAGGTGTTAGACAACCGCCTCTCACGACTACGACGCGTTACCCAGAACACCTTTCTAGTCGCGGGTGTTGTGTGCATGAGTATGTTTGAGCTGTATGGCCGCATTCGACCCACTCTTTCCTGGTAGAGATGAAAGATTCGTGATTACAGGATGTTGCGGTAGCCGAAGTTCTGCCTACCAGACTTGTATTCTTTGAGGCTGGAACTCCTATTACAGCCGTCAAGGCTGCGAGGTTTCAAGGTTCTTCAAGGCTGCAATCGGAGTTGCAGCCTCGAAGAAGCACGCTTGTTCAAACGTCAACTACAGGGAGACCCCAGCGTTCACAAATATTCATCAATTTGAGCTTTGCCTGAACTTTTTTCATGGTATAAGTGTCGCAACATTGGTCCTGTCGCAACGCCGCAGGAGGTGTTCCATGAGTACGACACTGACCGCGACGGCTACCTGAGTCCCGAGGACGTGGCGGCGGTGACGTGTCGCTTTCCCGCCTTGCGCGGCTTGGTGCCCGAGGAGTGCCAGAGAAAGCTGCTGGGACGGCACGACATCCGGCGGTTCCTGCTGCGCTCGAACTGGGCCATGTTCCGGCACGACTTCCACGAGACCACCTACTTCCGGCCGACCTTCTGCATACACTGCACCGGCTTGGCGAGTACACTTTCCAGGGGCGAGTTGCCGGTTTTCATGCATGACCAATTGACATGGACTCCGGCGCCTTATAAAGCGGGTTATTCATTAAAAAAAAAGACGACATGGAGTCGCGGACACAAGAATGCTTGTCTCATAAGATGCAGAGGTCCGAAAGCGATCCCCTGAGTATTCCGTGATAAATGCAATAAAGTTTGTCTTAAAAAAAAAAACAACTGTGCTTCATTTTTTAACAACTTCGATTCTGTCAAAATTCTTTGTATCTTATTCGTATTCACTTAAGACGGCCATGCAGATGCGCCGAATCGAGTGCGATGCAATCTATGCACCACTTATAAACCGAGTCTTAAGAATACCGGTGCATCGCGTGAGGAACTGAGTGATTTGCTATCATGATGCCGCTGCCACGCTTCCGATGTTGTTACTCTTTATACCTCTGAATATTGCGAGGATAGAGTTGAGGTAGCAGTAAATATTTTTGCTTTTTCAGCTGTGGGGTCTGATCAAGCAAGGCTTCAAGTGTAAAAGTGAGTATAGTGACATCCTTCACTAATTATATATATATTTGTGTGTGTGTGTGTGTGTGATTTTTTTTGCACACGAATGTAGGGTGAGAGTGAAGTGTGTCCAGTTATATCCTGGTAGCGTTATAAAGACTAAATTTTTTATTTACATTGCAGAAAACTGTATGTTTTTTTTTAGTAGGCTGGTGTGCATACCGACGAGAAAGCGTAGCTTTACTCTCAGTTGGAATGCTATGTTGCAAGTGGGACAAACAGGGTATCTTTACATTACTCTGCATTTTTCTTCATGCTTAATCATTTATGCTTATCAGTACAGTACCAGAAATGCTAAAGGCAGTGTTTTTCCGCCTCTATCGTGGGTCTAATATGCTTTTTTTTTTGTTTTAATTTAGTTAAACCTCATTACTGTACAAAGCACATTCACCTTTGCTGTTTTAGAAAGTCACCATGGTTCATCGTGGTAAATGTGCACGTCCCTCTCTTTGTCGATGCAGAGTGCGGGATCAACGCGCACAAGCACTGCCGAGAGCAAGTGCTGGCCGAATGCCGACCACTCACGCCGCAAGGTCCAGTGAGGAGTTCTTCCTTTTCTTCCACAGGTAGGCTCACTCTTGCAAGGCTTCTCGCGTGGTGCGTGCTGAATGATTTCGAAACAGGAGTGTCGCTGGAGCTGATGTTCCCACTAGCAGATTCGTCTTTATCAATGCGGTGAATGCAGGGCAGTTGCTGCAGTTTAAGTGTTAAGTTTAAGCGTCACAGAGCAGTGACGTGCAGCTGAATGCCATTTATAAGGATGTAGCACTCTAGGGGCCTGCCTTGTTCATCTCGTAACGCATGGTCATGCAGTAGTGAATACAGCCAATGTAGGCCTATACGAAGGCTTACAATGCTTAGAACCACTACAAAGCAAACTAGCATGGTCAAAAATAATATAAACTACAGAAACTACGAAAGAATAATCCCAGTAGTTTACACAAACAAGGGAAACACTTCCGAGACACCTCTGCAAATGCACGATCGCCAATGGGGGGGGGGGGGGGCACACACGTTCGATCGCCAGAGGATTTAGCTGGTTTTCTCAAGCACATCATGTAACATGGTAGAGGGCATGCCTTAAGCACATTATTTGCAACTACAGCAAGCCCCACACAAGAATTACATCAGCGCTATTTTCTCTGTTGTCCAAGTTCTGAAGAGTGGCTAGTTGGGCAATTTGCCTCAGCATCATAGGAAAATATAGCGCAAGAAACCTGAGGGAAATAGGGGCCGGGCTGAAGTTTATGTGTAAGGCGTCCAAAAACGGTTGTACTATACAGTTGTTGTACTATACAGGTCTAATATTTGCTGGAAATCTTGGCCAGATCTGCGCAGCTTGTGGATGGAAAGTTGGGGCAGAGCAAATAGGACAATGGGTGTGCTACCAAGCACCGTGAAAAATTGGTTGTGTGGCATGGAAGTGGTATAGTATCCCATACCGTTATTGTGTGGGAAGTTCTACGTTTGGAGATGGGCTTGAATAACAGATTATTAGATCACAAGGCTTCTTTGAGGGGAGCACCTTGTTCAGACTCTATACACTGTAGTGAGTGCGGCTTGTGTGCTCTTGCTGTCAAGTGCCAGGCTGCAAAAGAGAAAGTTGGGCGAGAAATAGATGGAGCATTCTTAATTAGGAGATCTGGTGAGAAATGTGTAGTGAAGCCCTCTATCACTCTGCATCCCAATGAAATAGATTTCTTGAGCCTCCAACCACTATTCCAAATCATCATTGTACTAGAATATTTTACAGTGCAACGGGTCAGATACGAATACAGAAGGGACCCAAATGTCCGTATCTAACCCATTGCACTGTAATATATTCTAGGATAAACATCCAGCAACTCGCGATCCTAAATCAAATGTTGTTTGTGCCTGTTTGGATTCTGGCCATGTGACTAGTAGCACTACTTTATAAGTTAATGTTTTTCAATAAAACTCAATAATTAGTGATAGTGCTGTGTTCATGAAGTTCTTTTCTTCGTACTTGTTCTTTTTCTGTGCTTAATTCCGCTATCACGTCCAAGTTTTTATAGGATTTAGGCATTTCTTAAGCTTTTGTCATTCTTTGGTGGCTGCAGAGTGGAGTAAAGTGTGGGATTGGGCTCGTCCTCGTCTCTTGTGTCACTAGTCGGAAGTTTTTGCGCTGAGAAGTTCAATAATGCAGAGTGGAGCGTGCCGAGGCCAAGCCGCCATCACCATCTGCAACAACAGCAGCAGCAACAGCAGCCAAGGCGCTTCAAGCAAAGCCGCTCGGAGAGCGAGTCGGCGCCGCTGGTCCATCGGACCTCTGACACGCGCTGGAAGTCGGAGGACGGCAGATCGACGGCGACTCACTCGTATGGCCAGACGGTGCGAAACACGTGATTGACGCTCGTCACGTGCTGGGAAGGACTCCTTGCCTCTGTCCCATCTTAGCATCCCCCGATGATGATGGGCTTCTGCCATTTTGCAACGCGTGAGTTTGTTCTTCGTACCTGTGACGAGGTGACGCCATTGGGGCGCCCTCATCGTACGCTGCCGCTTCGACCGATGTGCTCGCCAAACACCTCGGGTTTTACAAAGTGGCCCGAGGAAACACTTCCAGTTTGCCAGGCGTCACGGGAGCTGATTCAAGGGTGCCACACCTCGTCCTCAGCTAGTCAAGAGATGAGGTAGATAGATCTGTGCCATGATTTATAGAGCCCGCGAAATTTTACTTTCCGGTCATTTGCTCTCAAGACTGGATGGTGCCCCATTCAGAAGGCTACACAAAAGAGTATGCTCTGTATTCATGCCGACGGCAGCATCTACGGCGTTTTTTTACTTTTTTCAGCAGCGTTCATTGTAGTCGTTACTGTAAAATGTGTTGTTGCTAATTCTTGATCATTTATTTTCTCCCGTTTCTTCCCTCCATTGATAGTTCAGCAACAAATGTCAAGATTTTATATTACTTCATAATTATTCCTACGCGTTACAGAATATGCGGTACCCTTCAAGTCGGCTTTCACAGAGTCTGGTAGGCCTAGCGTGTACACAAAGAGCCCGTTTTTCTTTTAAGCAGAGCTGTTTGATGAGCACGTGATACATGACTACATAAATACTACTGTCAGTATAGGCTACAAATGTTATTGCGGCCAAGGATGCATCTGCTCCTGACCATGCCTCACGGATACGTGAGCAGACTGTCTGCAGCTGTGTTTGTATAAGGAAAGGTGTTTTTAAACCTACGTAACAGTAATCATGTTGACGGGACCTGCAACAATTCTAAATCAAGGTGTGTCGTCTTGCTCGTGGATGCGCCGGCAGTATGCCATCGTGCTCACCGTTTGGAGACGACAAACTGGTTTTAGTGCCCACATTCTTCGTGCTGCTGTACATACTTGTTGTAATGTGTGTGTTTCGATCCCCGTTTTGACTCATCACAGCCGTGAGACGGGGCCTAGCCTTGTCTCAAGAGTGCAGTGTATCGTTCTTTTTCTCGGTCTCTTTTCACTGCTTTCTACTGCCACGATTGTCACTGACGAACGTTGGTATTTGAATTGGCATTGCTAAAGCACGGGGAACTTGCAAACTTCGAGCATACTTCCTTAAAAACGATGCTATCCTAAATCGTTGTGCCAGCTGTGGTAGGATAGTGATACCAAACACGTTCCACTTCCTCAACTCCTCTTACCGCTGTTGAACCTGTACTTGGCTGTTTGCTTCACAAGCATCCAACGGACTGCCTAAACACGTAGCGATGACTAGAAAGATTGAGCTTGTCCACAAATTTCTTTGTTCTTGCATATTTCTGCGACTGTAGTTGTCAACATGAGCAGGTGGGTTGACGACCCCTTTTGGCGGTGGGAGGATCACTTGCGCGAACTCTTCATAACCTTCTTAGGTTCTTCAGAACTCTTCTTAGGTTTCGAAAGGGGCGTAAGCTAGCCTCTATATTTGTTCATTTATAAATCATGGAACATGGAAATTTCCGGAAAGGGCACTAAAAAAAAAAAAAGGCTTTACTCGTAATAGTGAATTGCTCTTTTAGATGGTCTGTCTTGTTCTTGTTCCTTCTTCTCTTCATGATTGCCTGAAACACCATGCTAACTGTGAGAAGACGCTTGGAAAGCGAGAAAACGCGAGAAAGAAAAATACCGTCATGTGGCCGCCAATTATTATGCAAGCGTTATTGCATAACAGACACATGAAAACGGTCAATGTTCTTCGTGTCGCGAGGTCAATAATTGCTGCCATCTACATTTATTGTTGCCAGCATCTTGCTATAAGTGCTGTCTTTCCGGAATGTCTAAATCGAATTTGCATCGATAGCTTTCTCACGAGAACTTGCGCTGCACATGTTCTTCTCGTTGATTAATTTTTCTATCCTGCCTATCGCGACAGCCGTACTCGATTCCTTGCGGGAATCGGTCCTATCGCACATATTTGAGTTGCTTGTACAAACTCTGTCGCCAAAAATTGGTTCATTTCTACTGGTTTTCTGTAGTGGTTCAGAGTCTGGTCAGGAGTATTCCATTGCCCGCTATGGCAATCGGTCTGAAATACCCGAGTCCTTGCTGTATAGGGGCGCTAAAGGGCAGCACGGAATTGGGCTCCGGTAGTTATTACGTTTCCGTGGTATTAAATTGACCATTTAATTAACCATGACCATTTAGCCCTGTTTGGTGAGTCGATACAATATGTGTTGTAACTTGGGCGATGTCACCATGGAAGTAACCGCATCAATTCGCTTTGAAATCCGTTTGTTCTAACAGCGTCTGCTCTGGCATTTCAGTGCTTTGTTTTAAAAAAGATAAGCATGGCATTCTAGAAGAAGTTACAATTGAGAACAAAAAAAAAGTTAAAAAAAAAGGACTTCATCCGACACTGCCCAGGGCCAGAAAAAAACTGAAGAGGCACGAATGCTTGAAGCTCTTAAAACAAATCGAATATTGCACAGCTTCTTCCTGTCCTCTTATGGAATAGCCAGAACTGAAGAAAGAAAAAAAAATGGTATTTTTTAGGATAGCTTTTTCTTCTGTTGATTGTATAGTGCTACTGGTTGATGGAACATAAGAAAGGTACACACATGACCACCTTTTTTTGAGCTATAGAACCTACAGTCATGCTTAACCAACACGCCCACTTTGCGATGCTCTACTGTGTGGACTGTTTGTGTCAAAGTAGGAAGTTGAAGTGAAAGTTCGTTATCCATTGCCCTGTTGATATGCTGTGCACAAACACGATACCCGACAATGAAATGTTTACACATGTTATTGGTCAATGGGAATCGCTTCGTATCATTTATACTATACGGAGAACCTGTTCCAACCTAGTGAAATAATTTGACTGCGCTGAATCGCAGCACACTTTAATACAGTACAACTTCCGTTGCCATTGAAATGACAGAAAAAGTAGGCCTGTCCACCCTTAAGGAAAGGATATACTTCTACAAGCACATAATGCTGTAACAGTAAATCTGGAGCTCAGGGTAGACCAGCATGAATATTTTATTCAGTCCCTTACTCATGTTTATTTATTACTTCTACAGAAAGGCTGACTGTCTAGACATTTCTATCCTATGAATTAGCGCGTGCTCTTAAGGAACTGCGCATTTCAGTGAGAATATGGCGCAGCTAACTGTTTGCAGTATAATTATTTTTCATAATACTATGACGTAAAATCTACTGAATAAAAATGTTTAGAATGTGGTGCATTTTCTGTAGACTTGAAAACAATCGACAATATTCAGTTCTGGCAGATTGGATTCGCACTTGATTTGGTCTCAAACCTTACAAAAAAGGTCGGTATATTCAGGAAACGCCAACTGTTTACTTGTCACAAAAAGCACTAACTGCTTAGTAATTGAACGTAGTAAAATGCCGGTTAGTGAAATTTACTAATTAGTGTAAGTGAATTGATTAATGCTGACTCGAATAGTTAGTCCATCACTAGGTTCCTTATTAACTGCGCTAGTAACTTAGTAACGGCCTTGTTTGCATACGAAACATGCGAAAATCCCCGTCGACACAGTTGTCTTGCCAGCGCAGATGGTTTGTCAACAAATTCATCAATGGAAAATTTTTTGCCCTGCCATAAAGAGAACTGTCTTCCAAGTGGAGAGAAGTAGAGTCCTCCACAAATAAGCTAACATTACCAGATAATGTTGCTGCATTGTTTTTAGCGACCCTTTACTGGAAAATGCCCTCAAAAAAGAAGCAACAGAAAATTATGCAGCAAGCATGCAGTGATCATGTTTCCATGGTGACAGCTAGCTTAATACGCATGAGAGTTTACTCGTGATGCATGTAACATTCGACATTTTCGTAGCAGGACACCTTTGTTCCCTGCGGGGATTCTCACGGTTCTTCGCATTATGTCGGGCAGTGTACACTTGCCTACCATGGTCGTAGAGGGATGTGGTATCCTAATCATTGCATATTGCAAGTTTGTTTCCAGTATGTTTTCGTGTGGTATAATGCTTTTATAGCATCTACTTGGCAGTTATCACGGTTTCTCTGCACAAAATCTAGAGAATTGCTTTCTTTTTTGCAACCTCAGGAAATGAAGACACCCGCTTTGCCAAATGACGCTTCATTTGCTACCCAGAGCTAAAACATAAGTGGTGTCTACTAAGAAGCATAAATAGAAACACATTTTCAGTACTTCGTCGCAGTATACTGCGAGTGCCATGGTGAGTTCATGTACCTGGTAGTGTCTTCAAATTCTTCATGTGTAATGGCTGTTCGGTGCGACGGGAGTGCACTGCACGGGTGCGACGCCATTTATCTGTCGGATGTTTAATGGCATTTTTCACAGCTTAATCTGGAGCGGGATGGAATGTTTTACTGGTCGTTCACAATCAACTCCGCAATGCAGTCGCTTTGACTTGCTGCTCCCAGGGACCGACTGGCATTGGGAACAGGACAAGAAGCGTGCGTCACTTCCGTTCGACGGCTTTGGTTGCCGTAAAGAACTGTACTGAGTGGAAGTCGGCCATAGTTCCCGGTACATGCTTGTGTGATTCGTGCGTAATGATCCACACGTATTGTTTCGTGTGGAGCTGATCTGAATTTACAATGGCAGATTCAGATCCGTGCAATACGAGCACTCGTTGGACAATTTCGGAGGCCGCTCCGGATCTTCCAGTTAAAAACACCATTCGACTTGTGGCAATGGGGTCATTCGTCCGAGCAGAAAAAATCGTGATACTGATCTAGACTCAGGTGTCATTTTTTTATCGAAGTTACAGACTACATACGCGCCTAAGCTAGGCGCACTGTCGGGTATTTTACACTTTACACTATATCAAACAGAACAGCTTTTCTGCACTGAATGACCTAGTCTAGGCTAGACATGCCATCCCCAGCAGTTGTCAGAAATATGCTCAGGCCTTGCTCTTCAAACAGTTATCAATCTCCTAACATCTCTGACATGCGATCATTTTTCAACCATGTGTAGCTGAAACAAGGCAGTTACGCCTTTGATGGTTAATACCTTTGTCTTCTTTTTTTAAATTTTGTTTGGAAGAAGGGAACAAAGAAAACTGCACGTATTTTTGAATAGCACAATGTGCCCACACTATTTCAGCCCGTAGTTTTCTAGAATGCTTATGATGGTCAAGTTAAGAACGCCTCACTATCAGATGAGTGGTAAAGCTCAGAAATGCATATAAAACAAAGACCTTCATTCTTTTTTCACGAAATCTTTGCTTTACAATGCAAAGTCAATGCCGTGCTTGATTGCCAAAGAAATCGGGGTTTGCTAATGCTCCATGTACCTGGTAAAAACTCACAGAAGCTCTCTTATCAGCTTTTATCTTAACTTATCCGAATTGTTACCGAACACTTATGACAGTGGATGTAAGTTTTTCCCCATTGGAAGTTATCTTAAAAGAGAAGTTTAAGTCCATTACACGAAGACTACATTTACAAGATTTCTTTTTCTTGTAGCCATGGTCCATAGTTATGGGCTTTCTTTTTTAGATCAGCAACTCGAACGTCACATACATATTTTTTTAATGTGTCGAGTTTTACTGACGTCAACCTTGTAGTTTACGAAACTTAAAAGCAAAACATGAAAGCTTTGTACTTGTGCAGATATTGTACTGAAGAATCGTGTATATATTTTTCCTGTCATATTGGCGTTACTTTGTTCATTTTATGTTTGTTTGTTTTTTTCGGCAGAAGCATAACTGTAACGACTATCTTCATCCGAATAGTACAGAAGCAGTTGCACTTCAGTAACAGTCTAATATCACTTTCATTGACTCCCGATACTTCTAACACTCGTCAACAAGAAATATTTCAAGGAAAGGTCTGACATACATTCACTAATTTGTTTGCACTAACACATTTTCAAGAGGCAACGCACACTTATTCTTCTTGTCACTCACAATTGTATTCATCAAAGAAAATGTGATGGCATAGCTGAGTGAATCCGTGCGAAAATCACTCATAAGGAAGTGTGTATGTATGATTCTAGTGGGGCATTCTATTTGCACCTCAGCAGCTCTGAGTCACATGGCCTGAGGGGGAACATCATTTGTGACGTTATTCGTAGCATCACATAAAATAAATGACCTGGCACTAGTGGCGCTGGCTAGATAGTGAGGTTACTGGCACCTTAGTCACACTGGTCAACTACTGACAGTTTCAGAAATAGCCATACTTATGCAATGCCAGGCAGAATCTTGCCTTTCATCCTGATTGCAAAGCGTAGTGGTGACATGCGTGATGTTTGTGTACAGGTCACATGACCTCGAGCTGTTAAATTGCAAGCAGACTATCCCGACTTTTGCCTTCATTTTATATACTCAGGGAATTGGACCTGTTGTTAGACTACAAATAAAAAAGTTACAGCTGATGTTTCTTGTTGAAGTCGCATGTGTTGCGAAAGATGAACTTTATTAAGCAATATATATGTTTTTCTTTGTAGTTTGATCATTTTCAATTACAAACCGATAATAAGCGTGCTTGAAAGGCATACGTGATTATTCTTTTACGGGACCACATACATCGTTTGCAGGGTAGGAGGGAAGCTGTAAACCCATGTCTCGCATCGAGCTGCGAAATAGAAGCATAGGTGTCACTTTGGGGGAGGGGAGTCTCGAAGTGGGCTTGTTGGAATGGTATGTTTTTGACAACTACCGTAGCGCAGAGAAATAGGACGCCAGAAAGGTAACAAAGAGGGGAGTGCCCTTCTTGCACTTCTTCTCGATGCCCATGGCTTCGTGTATGCGCATTTAGCCTGATTATGATTCGTGTAGTTCATAAAACTTCGAACCATCTCGCCACGATTTGTGATCTAAACATTCCACCAGAATCGCTCGCTGTTCAACTGACCACTTTTTTTTAAAGCAAAATGAAAAGAAGAGCTAGGTGCTACTGTGCGCTTAAAATACGACTGTAAAGTATATATATTTACTAAGTACAAAATTATCGCAATTTTGCCAGCGGGTGCCATCGAGCACAGTTGCGAAATGGTAATCGTGGCTACCAGAGTGTTGTTCGTTGTGTGAAATCGAGGGAGAATTAAGCCTAAACATTCCGAATGGACAGGACACTGCTGTGCCTGTCACCTCAGGGAAGACTCGAAAAATGTTGGTGGTGGGTATGAAAGTGTCGGGTGCCGTCCCGCGAATCACATTCCATTATGATTACTTATAACGCAGTCCTTACAAACATCTGCTGATAATTGTAAGGGTAATCCTTGTCTATTTTTATTTGCACATTTCTTGAAGCGCAAGCTCCCCTCCCTCGAATCCTACAAATTCCTAGAAAGGTCAAATACCACTCTACAGTTCCAGCTCTACTTTCGAAATGCTTGGCGATACATTCACAAGATGAATCTGTGGAGTGTTCTGATGAACGTTTCGTTCCAACTTGCGCTTTCCCGATACCTCTCAGCAATTTGCCTGTAGGGACTGTCATCATACTTTTAATATACACTTCAACATAAAGCGACATGCTTAAAGGGTTCATAAAAAAGAGATGAATACTAAACAGCTCCTATAACAATCTGTTGGTCCTTAGTAGTTCTGTTGGTCCTTAGTAGTGTTGGTCCTTAGTAGTAGTAGTTAACTACAGCCGATCTCTGGCACCCTAGCCTAGCTCATCTATTTTGCGGTGCATTTTCTAATAGCTGCCGGCGCGTCGTGTTTAGAAATATTGTCTTCCGCATCTGTGTTTTCACTTCAGTAAATCTGACACACTCATGCATGCTGTTATTTCGAACTTGCAGAACTTTGTTTATTAATTCTTTTTTTTTCTTTGCGGGTAAACCTGGCCAGAGTCCCTGTTTTCGTGTTTTGACGCATATGCTGTGGGTATCGAGCTATTAGGTAGAAGATTACACGTCTCGGTGTATTGAGCATTTGAGATGAAAAAAAAAAAAGCACTGTTTTGTCAAATATGTAATTGAGCTAGAAACGAAGGAAGACAATGACTTTGTGGGTATGCATGCGCATAAGTACTTGTGATGAATCAGCCGAAAGTATGAGTGAATGTTTGAGCTTTTAATGAAGTGTGAACTTCAGACTACATACAGTTGTTGCATTGCATTTCATTTCGTATTAATGCTGAAGTGTTTTCCTCTTTTATTTTTACGCCTGTGAAACTTAAAAAGAACGAAAGAAGGAGGACAAGGTATCGACAGAAGTGACACTTCCGCTTTCATTGTGGCTTGCGGGTGATAATTTATGCTCAGAATTAGCATGACTTTCGTGACGAGGTTTGTGACATAAGCGCACCCGAAGGGTGAACCACTTCAGAATTTCCTCTCGAACGGTGTACTGCGGTGCCTTTCAAGATGAATTTCTCAAAGGAACCTCTGCAATGGACACCGCTGTAACTGCAGATGGTGCACTGTGGAACGAATATTCGTAGTACTGACTCAGCGTGCACTTGTTCTCTTTCTATACTGGCAGCATTCAGACTCACCTCAACCGTAGCCCTATTTGATTGCGCAGCATACATTGTATAAATGTGTTTAATGACACGGCTAGGCATCCAATTGGCAAGTAGAGTGCGAAAATCAATACAGGGCCGGTGCCTTCATATATACCTTAACGTTAACAAAAAATGAGCACGAGCCTACTTGATTGAACGTGATGATATACCAAATCCTACGGCATTGTAGAGCGTAAAAGGACTTCGCAAAGTGCAAACCTATTGTGGGTTGCTTGCCAATAGCGTTTGTTGATCTCTTTCCGAGAGTTGTTTACGTGCTTTATTCTTGTAGAGTTAAGTATCCTCTGGATAACCCGTAATATTAGCTGCTTGAAAACTTGTAGGTTTAAACTGTGAAGGCATCATCCATTTTGGACTCATGAGCTGAAATAATACGCCCCGACTTATTAGCGCCAAGGTTAAAAGTGCCTCTTTTTGAAGATCGCTCACACAGCTGTCGATTTCTGTGAACTTAACACAATGTGGTGAGACATGAACAATGTTATCGAATATCTTGCCGTGTTGGAGTGAGACTAGAAATGAACAGAATCTGCTGCAATATCGCATCCATAGCATTTTCAATCGAACCTTCTGTTTACACATTATACTGTTAAATACATATAGTTCGAAGGATGCACATGCGGCAGCTGCGTCACTGTTCTGTGACACCGGATCTGGCGACATAAGCTTCTTATGGTTGGGTCATTGAACTCGAATTGGGCCTCGATAGGACTAGGCTTTCTGTCGCGAATGTTAACTATTTCGTCAGCTAGGGGTAGCTTTGCTACCCGCTGTAATTTCCGAGGGCAGTCTTCCATGACGAATTGAGCAAGAGGTGCAGATGTGAGCGCACGCGATCTTGTTGACCTGCCAAGCAGGAAGGACGCAACTGCAGGCTGCGCCGTATGGCTATTCTACCGCCGGCTAATGATGTCATATTGCTTTGTTGCAGCCATTCGAACAGTAAAAGCTCTTTCACAGCGAATGCGGGGCACACAAGGGGGCAAGCAGATTTTTAAAGTGAAGAAGCGGCGAAGGCGTGTGGCTGTTCAGACCGGTCCCGTTGTCTTCAGCCCTCACTTTCCGTGGGAGCAGAGCAATCAGGGAGCAATCCACCAATCTTCGGTGGACGTGTTGCCATCTTGCAACATTACGAGAAACTGCGCGCGCGTGTCTTAGGCCCTCGTTGGCTGCAGCCAAAGCGGGCAACTTTTCCGCATGGAGAAAATTTTTGCCGGCGTGATTTGGGCAAGCGGCCGTGGGTTTTCCGCTTTTGTGGGTAATCCGCGTCCTCTTTCTGGATCCGCGCTTGGTGTGAACACACCTCGTTCCCACCTGATAATAGCAACGGTCGTGTGACCATTTGCGACTTGTGACTAAAAGGCGATAGAGATGAGGTCACTATTACCGGAATTGAAGCCGCGGCCTCTTGTTTCGCCGAGGAACGTCAACCATCTCTCCTGCTCTATTTATGTAGCTGTTCTGCTTTCTTCAATTGTATCTGAGAATGCGCAACTGACAGCATTTGCCGGAAATTAAATATCCATACTTATCCTCAGGTTATAGACACTGGGCACTTCCGAGCACGATCGGGCCCAATTCGAATAGAGCTTCTTTTTCGTGACTCACTTCTTGACATAAGCCGTGGAAGGAAGCCGGTAATTATAGTGAAATGCGCCTATGATTGGGATCGACCACCATCGAAAATGCACACTGGTATTTGCTACATAGCACGTGCGCTTCAAAACTTCGCCTCCAGCGTTTACAGACTACATGTGTAAGGGCAAGCGAGAAAAAAGAAAAGTGTGCGGGCCCTTCTGTCTCGTGTTGCGAAGGCAATGGGTGAGAAAAAATGTAATTGGTCTAGATCATTGGTCCAACTTTATGGTAGCAAATACATCCATGTTCTCTTACTGCAGACCTGACGGTCACTGCGTTTGCACCGTGACGGCTTACTTTCACCACCTCCCATTGGCAGTCCTTGAAGCAGTACTGATATTTACATATTTTCGCAGTTTTATCACCTGTACCTCCAGCTTTGCCTGTGTTCAGGCAAAGCTGGAGAAGTCGATGGTGTTACGCATTGAGAAAAAAAGAAGTATTACTCTTGGCAAGTAAGAACGCCATAAAGCACTCAAGTTCGTTTTGTTGCAGGGACAGAAGGGCAGACAGACACTCGCAATTTCGTGATTTGCGTACTTAGACGCAGTTGCAGGGAAGTGACCACATCAATCTATCCTTGCTCTTCGTACCTACGCTCATATAAGGAGTAATACTTATATGTCTCTGTATAAAGTTTATCGTATTACGTGCCATGTAGACTATACATCACTTTGTATATTTCCATCTTTTTCTTCAGGGGGTCGCACTTACCCTTAGGTGCTGCCCTCAAAGTGCGTAAGTGTGTATGGTGTTCCCGGGTGGCCTCTTAACGCAATTGCGTACGCACAGCAACGTCGTGCTCAAAGGGACACAAAAGGGAAATCTTAGATCAGGACCACATCTATAGTCGGTGACGCCAAGGTACAGTATTGTACGCTTACATAAGTGAAGACGAACCATGCTCCTATTGGCATCGTTATCTTTCAGGCTGGACTCTACTTTTCAGAGATTAGCAATTTCATTTTATTTAATGTGTACACAAACTGACGGGGCAAAATTTAAAATTAATGTGCCAGCTGTAATATGCGGCGATATCCCATAGTCTGAAGGCAGTCCAGCTCATAGCAAGCGCCCTTCCCCTAGCAGAAAAGTCACGAGACACCTTTTTATTTCGGAGGTTTCTAATCTAGGGATGTTGGTTGTCCCTGCCCTAATTAAAGTGGCAGAGTGAAGCACGGAAAAATGAAAAAGGCAGATCGAATTGACAAATGCCAGTGAATACATTTAAAAAAAGGATTGACAGTGCGTCTGGAACTTTCCTGAAATTTTATGTTGTGTGTTGTACTGTGAAAAAAAAAAAAATCGGATAAACACGAAAAGCAACAGGCAACTCAAGGTGTGGTATCAGGGTGATCACTACCGCAAATATTGTAATAGCAGGAAAGTTCAGTTTAGGATATTTAACGACCACTGTTCGGCTGAGCTACAAGCTCATTTCGACCAAAAGGAGATCTCTAATGCGCACCGATGTGTGCGAGTGTTTTTGTATGCGACGACTGGGAATCCAACCCGGAATCGTGTGACCAGGAGCTGAACGCCATGTTGATGAAGGTCACTTCAACTGTGACAATCTGCCTTCGAAACTCACTACTTTCGTGAGTGAACGAAAAACTGATCGGTATCGCTTTAGTGTCTCTTTAACGCATTTTTGGCCACCCGAGTTCTGAGTGGACAGCTGTTCGTAAAGCGTCTTACTTCTCTATCTCTCTATCGTGGTGCCAATGGGGCACGTCGTTGTATCTACGTCCCAAATCTGGACCACTATAGTTCTTTGCCTTGCACCGTCATCCATAATCTTATTTTTAAAATTTTTTAGCTACATCTTCACTCCCACACATTGTCCATTATTTGTATTATTTTTTTATACATTGTTTGCCATGACTCGTAACGTGGGCTAACAGTTTGCTCAGAGTGGAGGGCAATTTGTCGCGTGAGTTCTATCGGGAATCGCCAGAACTTGAGGCGGCCGCAGGCAGTACATTTCTGCGGATGCTTTGTGATTCCATGCTTTATTTTTCCGTGTTAGTGAATATACTCCCGTATATACGGCATTACGTAAACTCGGCAGCCCTTCGACCTGCGTTTGAAAAGTTGTGGGATTTCGTGAAACAGTTTAGCCATGGCCTCAGTGATAAGCTGCGACAGCACGCAGCAATGGTGGGCTGCCGGAGTTCATCTCGGAGGCCACAATTTATCTGGCATCATCATGAAGCGAATCCAGGGTAAAACTGCCTAGAAAGCGAACTCGCCCACCTAATAAGGACAGATGACTGCAAGGTTAAGCTGAATCAAACACAGCCATTAAGTGTGTGCGAGGAAAATTCAAACAAAAAAATGGCAGAAAGGTGAAGGTATGTGAAAGCTTGCGACAAACACATCCGTAAAAATGGGTTGTGTGCTCGAAATGACGACTTGTCTTCAAGGAAGAAGTTCCAAGCTTGGAGAAGACAAATCTACTTGTTGAAACGTCAGCTGAACACACAACTTCTTCCAGTGCTGTAATGTCCACCAGCTCGTGCTATCCCAGAAGAATGATCGGCAGTATTCTGTTTCCATGCACTTAATGTTGTCGATGAATTCGCACTGCAAGCTGCCAGTGTCCGAGCAAACTCAATTTGTAGAGCGACCGCATTGGAAAAGCATTGGTCCCGGGTTTGATCGCCTGACTAGGACGAATTTTTGCGAACTATAAAAAGCTTTGATTTCTGAGAGACACGTATTGCCTTAATTGCATCTTCATGCAGCGAACGTACGTTTGTAAATTTTGGTTTCTGTAAAAAGGGCGATTTCTATATATCGGCTTTGCAGTTCGACACAAATCAGGCCCCAGAGCTCACGTTTTGAGTCATGCAGGCACGCGAAACGGTAAACACCATGTGTTGACACTGCTATACCCGTATTTACTTTTTCTTTTCTCGCACGGAGACTGTCTCACTGTATTGTGTACTACCCTGCACATATTTCCCCTTCCGCGCAGTAACACGTTGTTCTAGTCCCGATTCACAAGAGTGTGCTGTCCTCCAATATTCGATGCACCGGGCATGGTCAAATGCTCCTCGTCTCTTCTTGTTCTACATCTGTAGATACAGCAATTGTTACTGTCCTCGTCTGATGAACTCCTTCCGCCAGATTGATTCTCTCGCCAACTTCGCTAGATGCAGTTCAAGCGAGACTTTGTCGTCGTACAGGTCGACAGTGTTTTTTTCGTTTTTACACAGTTTGGGCCCACCTGTGAAAAGTCGCCACCCACATCATCTCACGCTCACCTAGCTTTTCCAGGTCATGGCTCCGGGTCTATATGGTTGCTGTGAATACTTCTTTGACTAAACAGTGATGCTGGGCTTAGACACTGCCGTTTGCTGTTGCAAGCGGGAGCGTCTGTTTGCATCTCAATAGCTGGGGGCCACGTGATGCGAGCGCAAACGTCATCTGACGTCACTGGATTGATAGGGCGGTGCCTTTCTGTCGATCCACGCTCTGGCGGTGGTGATTTTGGCAACACAGTGAGAACCATAGGCGTGCAAAGGGTTCCCATAGGGAGGGGCATATTTTCATCGTAGTTCCCCTGCACGTCCAAAAGGTCCCATTCAAAGGACAGCATGCTTCACAACGGATGAAAAAAATAATAAACGCGAGGCAGCAGGGTACGCATTTAGGCTGGTTGGTTCATGTTTAGTAATGGGAAAACAGCGATGACGAAGAGGAGAGACTGACCAACGCACTGCGTCCTTTCTTCTTACCGTTTTTTAGCTGTTTTTCTACTGAAAAATGTACTTATGGCGTGCTTCAGACAATGGCCTCTTCGCGGGAGCAAAGGAGTGAAGTATGCAGTTCTTGGAATGAGGCATTCGGGGCTTTCGACCGCTATTATTGTCAAAAACAGCCCCCCCCCCCCTCCTATGCGCAAGCCTATGGTGAACATGATAAAATGTGGTAGCGCAGACAAAAGACACTGGCAAGATAAGGCACATTCAAGACAACACAGCATGAACTATCAACAATAGTTTGTTACACGCAGATTCCCCTAGTGTATGTACTCCACTACGCCATACATCACATGTGCATAGCTCTCACAATCATAAATTGTAACCAACGCGCATGCATCAGCACATTACAACACTATATTTTTTCCACTTTTTTGCTTATGATTCATGGTTGTGAGAGCTAAGCACATGTGACGAATGGCGTGGTGGAGTACTAGGCGGATCTGCGTGTAATAAACTGTTGTTGAAAGTTAGCGATGTATTGTCTTGATTGTGCCTTCTCTTGTCCGTGTCGTTTGTCTGCGCTAGCATATATTATGCTCACCATACAAACAAGCCCAAATCCGCACCCTATGGTGAGAACCACTAAGTGGCTCGGCGTGTATTACTGCCACCCCACCCCGGGACACGGGCCAACCACCACTGACACTGGAAAGGTAGCCATGAAGCATCAGGCAGAACTTTCCCTTCTGCGTAAAATTTTGGTTCATCACGTGGCTCCGAACTGTTGCAGTTAGTTGAAAGCTGGATAACTGAACGATAAGCGACAAGTAACTAAAGCGGCTACTACAATCACCCGGGTGGCATGCCTGACTCGTGTGTGGTTTGGTTCAACTGTTGTTTTGTGTGTAGATGTTCTGTGTTCCGCACGGGTATCTGAAAAACGCGTCAGCACTGCAGTCTGCCACGTGCCATTCAAATCAGAGCCACGTGAAGTGAGCGAAATTGTTGGCCACAACTTTCTGTCGTGAGCATTCTCAGCACTTATATGCACTGTAACGGTGATCGGTTATGTTACGACGCAGAAACACAAGAAATTCACCTTTCTGTACTTCGCAGAACGTGATCGCTGTTTCGCATCACACGAATGTGTTGGGAGAAGTGTTATTGGCAGTGTACAGTGTTCTCGCCCGGTTTGCTGCTTGCTCTGTTACTGTTAAAAAAGTACATGTTTTGTTGAATGTATTGTTAGAGTTGTGAACAGTGTTAGGGTGGTAATATTTGCAATCGATTTTTCCATTTTCATTCAGTGCGAATTGCAACCACGTATGTGTATAAATGTAACTTAACTTCATGGCCAACTGATTTGAACATGAAGCGCTGCTGATACGCAATAGCGCTCGTACATGTAAATGAACGCGAGACAGTTCCTTGTATGTGAAATGGCACAGAGCCAGTTCTTGATACATGTCCATGTTGCATCGCCTAGGACTGCTGTGGAAAAATCGTGGCCTCCATTTGACTCATGAGTCTAGGTATCTGCAGCTTCAAGGAATGCTGTCCGTTGTGTTTCTATACATTAGTGATTGGAGTTATCTATAGTGTCTTCGTGTAGCTTGTACAATCGTTGACTGTCTAACTAAGACCAAGTGCGACAGACATGCTTCAGTGTCCCATTTAACTATTACATGATTCTGTGCAGAATAACACATATTGCTTGGGCTCCATCTCAGTAGTTTCCCTGAAAAGGCAATTATAGGTGATCAGCCACGCGTGCGGCCAGCAGATTATGGCACTCGCTTTCATGCAGTTATTCAGCAGTTCACACTGGCCATAAAGTGGATGCATGGACGGCCGCTTTATTCTATCTGATCCTCTTTTCGTTAGCGCATTTAGAATGACGTAAGGATGAAAGTTTTCGTTTATATGATTTTCTTGCCGATACACACGAAAAATTTACGCAAATTTAGATGACTAAGTCGGCCTTGAGAAGCGATTGCCACAGCTGACTGCCATTTCCACATTATGTTACTCTGCGAAGCCTGTGTACCACCTTGGTAAATTGGCAGTTTTCATCGAATCTTCCATTTGTCTGCAACATACGCATGCTACTAGTTATCCCCACTGGTGTATGGAAACATCAGCTTAATGAGCACCGTTATTTTGTATCACGCACAAAATCTCAATCCAGTCTACGGTTTCCCTGGATAGCCTAGGCATGGGGGCTGATGTGCCTATAGTGCTGCCGGTCGCACGTTGTCACAGCTTGTCCTAGTTCTGTGCTAGTGAACTACTTGATTGACTTCATCAACTGACACACGATGAGAATGAATGGTGTCTGCCCTATACACGGAAAACTACTGTGATGGAGTGAACGGCACATAACTAGAGTAGGAGCCTATGGCTCACAGCTTGAAGCAAAAAGCATTGTGCAGCGCTCGTGTTTGCTTAGGTGTGTCTGTGCCGGAGAAATGAAAGCAGACTGCCAGTCGAGACACTTTCTTTTCTTATTCGTTTCGCAAGACCTGCACAGACATATCCGACTATGGTACCTGAAAAAAAAAAAAAAACAGTTTTACATGACTGTACTTAAACAAGCACGTTGTTGTTTATCGTGGTCCAACAGCTTCGAAGACTACATTGATTACCTGTAGAAACGTGTGTGGGTTAACCAAAGAATTGCAAGGAAGCAGCTGTGGTTATTTCGACGCGCGTGTTCTTGCTCATCGTCGCAAGCACGCAACAGTTGAATTATGGGAAAAGAACCGTTCGCTTCATGTTTTCATCGATGTGTTGTGTTGTATACTTGATAGTGGTGTTTTTATTCGCACCGTAGTCAGAACCGTGTCCGGTATTTTTATCTGGTTACTGTACAGTGATGTACATATCTTGTGAAAGTATAGCTAACCGCTGCATTCTTTGTTGTTGAGTTTTTTAAAAAGAAACGTGTGGCTCGTGAACGTTTTGTTCGTGTGTCGACACATGCTGAGGAAGCCGTATATTTAACGTAGCTAGTCCAGGAAATTTCGCTTGACCAGTATGGAAGAAGTACAAGAAAAATACTGGCATTAGTGAGGTTCCGGCACGAGGTTGAAACTTTCGTCTTTATTTTCCATTCTGCTAACAAACCGGTAATGGTTACATTGGCGACCATAGAGTTTACAAATATTATTGATCAGCAAACTGAATTTTTGTGGAACACATTTAACTCATGCTTGATTGTGTAGGAGGCACATAGCCATTGCGACGAGCTGCGCTTTTGAATAATGAAAACCAAAAACAGCTTTTACTGTACTGCTTTGTAAGCAAAGTAACGTGCAGTGAAAATTTAAAATTATGCTTGAATTATAAAGCTTCAAATTTGGTTATGCTACTTGTGAAGTCTGCTTGCTCAAACTAAAAAACTTTCACTGCAAAAAAGTTCACTGCAAATGGGGTGTACCTTTAGTTGATGGCATTTTAACAAAGCGTACAATGATTTTTGACTTCACTCGGACATGCGTTCGTGAGCCTCATGGTACTTCATCAGGACAATAACTGAACATGTAATGTCACATGTCCTAGTTTGTTCAGTGTTCGTATTATAAGTTTTGGTCTGTAAATGTATGTCGAGTGCATTGTTTGAGTGATGTCAGTGCATCCCATTAAAGATTTGTTCTCTAAAGACAATGCCAATGGGTTTATTTCTCACTTTTGGCTAATAGCTGACCCAGGGAGGTTAGACAAAAATGCTGCAATGGAAAGTATGTCTCGCAAGAGGAGCCAGAGCTCCGCCATCTTATCATGGACACAATAAAAGTCTAGCTTACAGCAAAGAGCAACTAGTGATTCCTTCCGAACATTCCGAGGATTTGAGGACATCTGTACCTGGCACCATCGCTCGGCGTCACCAGAAGCCTCCTGTCATAACTGAATGACAAGCAGGCGAAAAAAATGATCTCTTGAAGAAAGCTGATTATGAAATACGTTCCTGGGTTTTGCTACAGTAGAGACCTGGGACATTTTAGTGAAATTGCAGTATCACGCTCAAAAGCGTGCAGCCCTCCAAGAAAACTGAACACCGCCCATTAAAAACACATGGGCTGCCATCGTAAAATATTAAACAATCCGGGAAACTTCGTGGTTTGTAGTGTGCCACTGTAGTTAAGTCTCTGCTGAATAGAACCGGGAGTTGTTTGAACATGAAAGTGTTTCATGCCGTGGTCCACCACAACTCCACTGACGCATTTCGGTCACGGATATGACATAAGAGATATACTAGCGCATTGCGTAGAAGAAAAAAAGAAAACGAGGTGAAAAAGTCTTGTTACCTGGCGTCGAACCTATGACCTCTCGCTCTGCAGCGCGAAACTACTAGGCCACAAAGCGTACGTTGTCAACCTCGCTAACAGCAAGCTATTTATATACACCTTATGCCATTTGGGGTCTTGAGTCGGGAAAGCAGGGAGGTCACTTCGCTTGGTGCCGCGGCCGTGTTTACGGAATGTCCTGCTGTACACTCACGATGAAGTAAGAATTGTGACAGTTGTTCGCGCTCGTCCTGTGTAAACTTGTCCGTTCGTTTCGTGCTTCTTTCTTTCTGTTAGAGCAGCGCGCTTTAAATGTCGAGCTTTGACAGTTGTTAGTCCGCGCTCATCTCGTGTATGCTGATTTCGGGCGTGCTTTCTGCTTCAGCTGCTGGCTGCAAGTTTCCAGCTGCTTGCCTTTCTACGCGTCGCATTAGAGTTCGATGCTGCAGCATTCATTCCCTCGCCCTTGCGGCGATACAATGCACAAAAGGCGCTCAACTCTTTCTGTGAAAACATGTTTCACTTTCGTGATATACCGATTCCTAGACAGAGGGATCATTGTTTTTTAGTTTTACTTGTTTTGTGAGGTATGAATTTTTTATCGCCTATTTCCGATTCAGTTTCGGGCACGGTGTAAGAATAGGTTGTTTCTGGAGAACACCGCTGTCACCGATGAGAGATATGCGGTACGTGGATATCACTCCAAATTCTGGTCATATGTGCTACGAGTTTAAAACGGCTTATTGTTCCGGACATGTACTGTTCAACGGGTTGCTTTGTGTAACTTGTTTCAATAAATGTCCGTCTTGGCTAATTTTATCACAGATCACGTTATCAATACCCATTCGGATGCTTAATTAATTTCGTCGGGCACCGCAATTTGTCTTGGCTAATTTTATCACAGATCCCGTTATCAATACTCATTCGGATGCTTAATTAATTTCGTCGGGCACCGCAATTAAGCTCTTGCATTTATCCTTACACTGGTATTAGCAGAGAAAGAACACACTTTTTTTGATCGGGCGTCACACAAAAACGCTACGTTCTTGAGGTGAGGTATTGACATAATGCCGACTTCGGATTTGCCGCTAAAAAAAATGTGGGAGCTTCCACTCTAGGATTGCTTTTTTGAAACCTCCTCGAGCGGACCCAGGGATGTTATCAGACGTTTGTCGCAGTCTACGCGGCCTTCTGGTCACACATTGGTGAGTATGGTCAGTCTCCCCCCCCCCCCTCCACCCGTCTATGCGCCAATGTCAACGAGACCCAACTCACTTGTTCACGACACTTCAGACCGGTGGGATGCCGCCAAGGAGGATTAAAAAGATTGCTGGAGTGGAAATGACAGCGCAGAAGTGAAGCCGTTCCTCTGGCAAGATGGCGGTTGTGGCGGTCATCTTACTAGGGGCATAATAAAGTATCACCGTTCAGTGACTAAAAACGAAGCGTTTTCCTCGCACGCCCAACGAGTTTAATATGAGACCTTTTTCGGGTCACATAGTGCTCCAAGTGCGTCTTACAGCTGCTACTTTTCCTTAGTGACCCTCTAATTGGAGGCAAAGTCGCCATCTTGGCAGTGGCAAAAGCTGGCTTCACTTCTGCTGGCAAGGCATTGCGGGAGCTTCCACTCCAGTAAGTTTTCTTTAACCCTCGTTTGATGCCGCCAAGATTTTTTTACCTTGTTAGAAGGGGGGGGGGGGGGGTTCTGTGTCATCTGATAAATTTATCATCTGATAAATTGCGAGTTGCTGATTTTGTTTTTGTCAAACAGAAGGCGAAACATCGTGGCTTACAGCGCGAAACATCCGGACGTAGACTAAAGAAAAGGACACGGTACAGCGCTGACTTTCAACTGAAAATATTATTGAAACAACTAATATATATACTATACGAACAGAAGACTGAGCCTGTCCACTCATTTGATCAAAATTATACACAGCGCAACAAGGCTTTGTTACGTGCACGCAATCCTACCACAAATAATGAAACGCACAAAATCGCGTGTACGTGACAAAGCCTTGTTGCGCTGTGTATAATTTTGATCAAATGAGTGGACCGGCTCAGTCTTCTGTTGGTATAGTATATATATATTCATTTTTTAAATAATATTTTTAGTTGAAAGTCAGCGCTGTACCATTTCCTTTTCTCTAGTCTACGTCCGGATGTTTCGCGCTGTAAGCCACGATGAATTTTCACCATCTATCCCAGTTTAACATCTTGCGAAAGTAATGAAATAAGTAGTGCCACAGCCTCATAGCAATGTCCCGGTTCAGGTTTTAAGAAACGCCACAGATCTGAGCCCAGGCAGAGCGAGAAGCCTCCCATTTTTACTCGGGCACTGTTATACTGTGCACGGCTTCATTTCTTTCTTTAAGTTATCTCTAGTTTAAACGTGTTGATCTCTTGGCGTAAGTCTGCCACTGCATCTGCATTAATTCTCAAGGAATGCAAGAAAGAAAAAAAATCAACGATGCCGCTGGTGCCCCCGTAGCCTCAGCCCATAAAAGGTAAATAAGAAAGTATACACACCTGATCGTACCAAGAAATTTTACAGGGTGTCCCAATAAACTTGTCAGCATGAGAATTGTCCTGCTTAGCAAGGGGATAGCGTCGCAGGTTCACATCATAACCTTTTATTTAGTCGACGTGCTTTATTACTTTCCTCACGCACAGCACATTCGTCGTTCAAGGCACAGTGATTACAAAAGTGAGAGGTAATACATGACTGAAAGCGCGTGGCATTAAGAAATTCGTGCACAAAAATGTGTGTGCTGTTCGCAATAAAACAAAGTGTCACCACGACAACTATATAAGCACCACATCAAATATCGAAAGAACGTTTTGGGAAACATATGTCCATTAATAAAAACTACATGCATTCTAAAGCACTTCACTCTCATATTGTTTTAGAATCGCATTCCATCACAGTTTTTGGCTGCAGACATTCATTGACTTTTCACTTTTGAGCAGCCGAGCGGGCGTGGAATTGCACCTCCTCCTTCATGGAAAGTTTCAATACATTTGAACATTCCGAGAAGGTAGGAACGTGTGGTGGTTGCATCCAGTGAATTGGAAGAGGCGCCCAGCTTCGTGGTTAATTCACTTTGCTTTGGAGAATAAAGTTGGCCACGAAGGGACATAACTGGAAAAACGTTCAGCGGTATTGCACATTTGCCGGCGCACTTCACATATCATGCACAAAAGTCTTTCTCAAGGCTCAGCAAATTTCGCACTCTGAGTGCTGCGACTTTGGTCTCTCATAAGTCAGTTCGTGCAGCAAGCTGACTTGTGCGAGGATAGATAATAATCTCCGATGATCTCACTGTCATCATGCGGTAACTGTCCTGATGCGCATGCTATCACTGCTACGAGCGTTCAGACACTTGTGTTTGTCTATACAGCTTACATTGAGTGCCGTTGCTCTTTGCTCGACTAGGCCTACGTTATGGCTTTCAAAGCTTTCTCTTCTGGCTGTATTATTATCACCTCCCTTCGTTTTCTTCTTGTCGACTATCACTTAAATATGCCCTTCTGCCTGAAGGCATCGCTTAGATGAGTACGCTTTGTGCGCATTCACCGAGACTGATCCACATAACTTCGGCCAAGTGAAAGTGAGCCATCGAGGGCTGAACAGAGCCCGTTGCTGTTAAAGCCATTATCGTTTCAATATCAAAGAATTTGGAATGTTTAATACATCCAGCTTAGTTCTTCAGTGCTAATTTTAAGGCCTCAGTTCACGGCATTTCTTCAGTGGTATCTGTATGCGTAACTGAGGGGCATACCCTTGCGTGCAGTTCCTGCGCTTCGAGCTGCTTCTGCAAGTACCCTCCCCATTTTGTACCGCGCCGGATGGCCACCCTGAGAAGCCAGTTGAACATGTTCCTGAACGTCCTGTAGCGCAGCAGCAAGTTGAAGGTGAGCCAGATGAGGCAGTAGCTCCACCAATCGTACAGGCTGAGCGCCGCGTTGAAGTCCAGTCCGACCTGCCTCGCCCAGTAGGCCATCATGCCTTCATAGCTCAGGAAGATAACGAGCACGCGCACGGCGCTAATGATGTCCTTGCTCATGGCAGATGCCTCTGGGGACGCTTTGACGAGGCCGGGCTTGACGAGTTTCTCCTGCATTTCGAGGCAGACGTCGAACGTCTCGCGGTAGCTGCCAGAGCACAGGTTGTACGCGTCGGTCATGCCGAGCTTGTAGCCGACGCACCTCCAGAAGTGGAGAACGCACTCGAGCTCGAACTCGCTGAGGAAGAGGCCCCAGTTGGCGAGGGTGGAGCACCACGAGGCCGACGAAGGCGAACTGTGTCACCGCCATGTCCAGCTGAGACAGGTAAGTGGCGCCGGTGACAGGGCAGCGGCGGTTGCGCAGCTGACCGCTGACTTCGCGGTGCATCTGGCGCACTCTGGCGATGCTGAGCGCCGCCGCGTCGTCCGGGCTCCAGATGTCACCTTCGTACCAGCACTTGACGTGCCGCAAGGTGCTCAGGTAGCGCCGGTACAGAGCGGACAGCGTCGACGACCGGCCCGTGCTGACCAGAGGCTCCAGGATTGACGGCCTGGTCACCACCATGGCCAGTCCCACAAGGTGCGCGAAGAAGAAACTGCGGAGAGCAGTGGCAAACTGTGTTGAAAGAGGCGCTTCCAACAATGCTATCCATGATCAAGTCACTTTTACGAAACGTGTATGGCATAATGATGTGCTGCATGAGTGTGTTACAAAATGATAATTCAGCAGCACTAACGAGAACTCGCTGTTGGGCTAGATTGGTGCATGTCTGAAATAAATAGTCGATTTCGCGCAAAAATCACGACCACACAAAAGAAAACACATAGACAGGGTTCACTTGTAACTGTTTATTCCCTGAGGAAACAGGCTATTATGAACCCACTTCTCGTCAATGCATGCGCAACATACTCGGGCCGTCGTTTACCTAATTACGCTATCGGACACATGCTCTCTGGATAACGTGCTTCCGACTCACACAGGATGAGTGAAGTTTCGCTAGACGCAGTTAATAGGAATAAACAGTTGCAAACGAGCGCCCATCCTGCCTGTGTGCTTTTTCTTCTGTGTTGTCGTGATTTGGCGTGAAATCGACCATTTAATTCAGACTAACGGGAAGCCTGGCGAGACGCAAAGCATGCTGTGAGCGCCTGCGTTTCCCACAGGAAAATATTTCCAGTGTCACTCACCACGGTCCACTAATGCACTACCGATTTGCAGATATGTTTCTGAAGAGTGTTTTAAACTGATGACGTTACCGTAGAGATGCACATTTGTGTATCTGGTTTTAGAGTGCCTTGGTGGATTTCGTCGTGGATTTTCACTCCGCTGCTAAGCCAAACATAACGTTTTTGGCAGTAAGTCGATTCTTCAGCTGAGGATATGGGCCGGTGGCGAGTAGGGACAATTACAAAGTTTTCGTTGTGCATACCTGTTTACGATGGACCAAGACGACGACATGACATTGCGGCAAGCCGAGAACATAAGGTGCTTCACCCTTTAAGAAGAGATAAGGATCTGCAGAGGGATGTAGAACAGTGACTGCCCAGCTGGCAAGATCAGGCAACAAGCAAAAAAAGACTTCCCGGCTCTCTGCGATGGTCCTTCTATCCCCTCCGTTTCGTTGGCCCTGTCATAACTGCAGCATCTGAATGGCGCATATCAGAGTCGGTTGATTAGGATTGTAAATTATCTGGCCGCATAATGCTGACCATCATGGCTACTTGGTGCTTCACGATAAAACAGTAAAGTAACATGACTTTCTAATTTTTTATCAGCCAGACTCAACACGAAGTGCTGGGCCGTCTTCAAGGCTTCTTGCCCGAACTGACGTCACGAAACCTTTATTCGTTTTAGCTGCGCTGGTTGCACTCTTAGCAGTTAAGCTAATTCAGCTCCCGCGGGCGACGGGAGGACGTCCCTTTCATCTGCCCTTTGCAGTTTGGTAAACCCAGGTTCCATCCTAAACACTTGTCTTGTCCTGTATATTTTGCCCCGCCGCGGGGGTCTAGTGGCTAAAATCCACGGCTGCTGACCCGCAGGTCGCGGGGATCAAATCCCGGCTGTGGCGGCTGCATTTCCGATGGAGGCGGAAAGGTGTAGGCCCGTGTGCTCAACCCCAGGTGGTCGAAATTTTCGAATCCCTCCGCTACGGCGTCTCTCATAATCGTATGGTGGTTTTGGGACGTTAAACCCCACATATCAATCAATGTCCTGTATATTTGTCGCCACCACATCCGTGTTGCTTTGTATACGGTGTACTTTTTTCTTTAGTGTTAGGTGCTCTAGCGCTTTGATGCAGTGGCTAACTCTCATGTTTAGAACGACGGTCGAGCTCGGACCAGCACTGTGCAGTTCGCAACGGCCCACATCTGAGCATGCGTGGTGCCTATGATCTACGTGCCTTGCGCTTTCCGGCTTATCACCGTGGCTGCGGTGATATGCTTTGCTCTTAAGCACTAAAAAAAAAGTGCGATCGCCCGGTCAGGGTATCATATCACTGTTTGTTTGCCTTTTTTTCTGCGCTACATCGTGCAGAGTGCTTTCGGTGGCCATAGCGGTTCTTGCATCCGCGATGATGAAAAAGAATAACAAAATGCAAGAGAGGCGCGTCGCCCGCATGCTCAGATGGGGGTGTATATGTGACTGCAGACGTCGCTCGTGCAGTTCTGAGCACAATGCTTCATCGTTACAGACGTGCGAGTTGACAAATGTTTTCCTAGCACCATATGCGTATCCTTTGTGGAACCATGGAGAAGCAATGCCGCTTCGGCAACGAGTTCCCACAGATGGATGCTTCATGAAATGCTCCGAATGTGAGTATACGGCTTCCATCTCAGCGACTGTTCTGGCTGCAGTGAAGCAACGTTTGGAAAGAGGCGAGATTGGGCGTAGGGCGGGGCGATATGCAGTGAACAGGACAGGTGATGCATGCCGACCTTTCGGTCTTCTTGGGAGAGGGAACTCTCAAATTAGATATGCTCACTAGGTTGACAAGGCAGGTTGATGAAATGAAGACTTTAATTCAGCCTATTCTCAAAAATACTACGAAGTACTGAGTCGTCAAGTTCACGAGAGATGTGATGCGGGCTTGTTGGTAGCCCATCTACAGCAAGTTTACTCGTAGCACACGTCAACAACAGGAAGTAATGAAGCGCTCTGTCATTTCTACATGCACCTTCATTTCTTTTTGTTGTTTACGTGCGCTACAAGGAAACCTACTGAAGATCTTCAAGTTCCCCGGGAAAAAATCAAATCAGTTTGAAGTAAAAATGTTTCAAAGCTTGAAGGTAATGCAAAGCTAGGCGACATTCAGTCACTCGAACTACCTGTGAACCATCTTGAATGGCGCAACAGGAATACCAGTAGCTGGTATACGAGGAAAGCTTCACAAAGCTAAGTGAAGTAGCAAAATCTGTGAGCTTTTCAACATCACCGCTAGTGATGTTGAGGTGTTACATAGTTTGTCTTCGCGCAAGGCAAAGTACTTGGGATCATAGTCCAATTTTCACAGCTCTCTTGCAGGCAAATTAATGGAAAAGCACGGAATTTTACGAAAAATGTGCTCTGACGTTTCCATCTGAAAATATGAGCGCACATCCCGGGAACGGCTGCATGGCGTCAAAGAATGGGCGAATGTCAACAATTATCGCGTCGCATGCGGTTGTCATTCGGGACACAGATGATATATGGGTAAACTGCCCAGTGCCTGAGTTTCTATAGCTAGCGTTTCTTCTATAGCCTCTGTTGCTTTTCATGCTACCACCACAGGCATGGTAAGCGTAGTTCGCACTGCTTTGCATCATAGGTTGCTTAAATGTCATCATCATAAGCCTGACCATGCGCAGTACAAAGTCCTTACCCGTTCGTTCCCTGATAATCTTTTCTTCTTCCCCGTCAGGATTACACCTATCATTTTCTTTTCTATATCTCGCTGCGTTGTCCTCAACTTAAGTTGAACCCTCTTTGTATTCCTCCAGATTTCTGCTCTGTATTGGCAATCTACCAGTCATGATTTGAGAACGATTGCCGAATGTGCTCCACCCGATTCTTATTCATCTAGTTAAATCAGTTTCGTGGTTCGACTCCATGGTTACTGCCTGTCCTAAGTAGACGTACTCGTTTGTACTGCTACCTATCTCAAAGCGCTGTTCTCTTCCGAGGTTGTTGTACATTACTTTCGTTTTCTGCAGATTAATTTTAAGATCTACATTTGTGCCCTTTAGTCTGATTCGGTAATCATAAATCGCAATTCGACCGCTGAGTTACTCAGCAATGCAATGTCATCGGCGAAGCGCAGGTTACTAAAGTACTCTCCATTAACTCTTATCCCTAACTGTTCCCATTCTAGGCCTCCGAAAACCTCCTCTAAGCACGCGGTAAATAGCATTGGGGACAAGAGTGCCGATGTGGGCTTGTTGGTGAAACATTTGAAAGTAATTTATGTAGCGCGAGGCGAGAAAACGAACACAGGAAATAACATGTCGGCCAAACCAGTAGGTGTGTGAATGAGCGATTGAGAGAACACAATTACAAGGCGAATAAACTGCCGCCAGAAGGTTTTCTCGCTCTTCACATTCGCGCGTGTGGCTGCCGGCCTTTGTTCCAGAATACAATCATTGTTGGTCGGCATAAGGATGAGATGACTCGGTTCATCATAGAAGCCGAACTTATTGATGCTCTTGGAGATGTATGTATTAGCAAGCCTTCAATTGCCTTGTCACCCAAGGAACTGGCGTTCATGCGTACGCAGTGATACGTGATTTTATCTGTGAGGTTTTTCGGTGTCCTATTTATCGTTTGTTCTTGTAGGTAGATGGCATGGTCGTGCATGTATCTGAATTACACGTGCTTATCTGCGTGGTCACCTGACGATTACTGCTTAAAAGCAGCTTGGAGGTCGAAAATAAACATGTTGTTGATAGTAGCGCTCTGTCTTCTCAGTCTGTTCTTTCCTGTGTTCGTTTTTTCGCCTCGCGCTACACAAATTTCTTTCAAGCATTGGGGAGATTGTATCCCTTTGTCTTACACCCTTCTTGATTGATATTATGTCGCTTTCTTTATGTAGCTCTATGGTGGCAGTTAATCCTCTGTAGATTTCTTCCAGGATGTTTATATATGCTTTGTCGACGCCCTGATTCCGCAGTGTCTGCATGAATGCTGACATTTCTACTGAATCAAATGCCTTCTCGTAATCTATGACGGCTATGTACAGTGGTTGGCTGTATTATGAGCATTCATCTGTCATCTGACTGATAGCATGAATGTGATCGATTCTTGAGTAGCCTGTACGAAATCTTGCTTGATCCTTTAGTTGATTGAATTCTAATGTTGTCTTAATTATGTTAGCAATTAATTTTGTAAATAGCTTGTATACGACCGAGAGCAACCTGATCGGCCTGTTATTCTTTACGCCCTTGTCGTCCCCTTACTTCTGGATTAAGATGATGTTAGCATTCTTCCAAGATCCTGATACCCTACCCATCAGGAGACACTTCGTAAACAGGGTGGCCAGTTTTCCTAACACAATCTGTGCTCCGTCTTTCAGAAAATCTGATGTCACCTGATCCTCACCAGCAGCTTTGCCTCTCTGCATTCACTCCAAGGTCTTCCTGACCTCTTCTGTCATTACTGGTAGGATGTCATTGGGTTACTGCTAGTTCTTATATTATGGTCATGGTTGCCCTGGCTACTGTACATATCTCTGTAAAACTCCTCTGTTATTTTAACTATCCTATCAATATTGGTAGTTATTCTGCCTTCCTTGTCCCTTAGTGCATACATCTGGTTTTTGCCTATCCCAAGTTTCCTCTTCAGCGCTTTGACGCTCCCTCCATTCTCTAAAGCGTGTTGAATCCTCTCTGTGATATTACCTTCTTACATCGGATATATAGCGCTTATTAATCAACTTCGAAAGCTCTGCCAGTTTTGTTTTGTCTGTTGTGTTTGGGGCTTTCACACTTCAACGTTTCTTAATCAGGTTCTTCGTCTCCTGGGACAGCTTGCTAGTGTCCTGTCTAATTACCGTGCCTCCAGCTTGCACTGCATACTCCGTAATGATACTCGTCAGATTATCATTGATTGCGTAACGTTAAGGCCGATTTCCTCAATAAGAGCCGAGTACCTCTTCTGAAGCGAGACTCTGAATTCTTGTACTTTCCCTCTCAGTACTATAGCTCATTGACTGGCTTCTTGCGTATCAGTTTCTGTCGTTCCTTCTTCAATTCTAGGAGAACTCGAGACCTTACCATTTTATGGTAGCTGCATCATACCTTGCCAAGCATTTCCACATCGTCCATATGCCTGGGTGTGCACTCAGTACAAAGTATATTTCGTTCTTACTTTCGCCATTAGGGCTCCTCTGTGTCCACTTACGGTTTACTAGTTTTCGGTTGAAGGTATTCAAGATTCATAACTTGTTGCGTTCTGCGAATTTTACTAATAACTTATGTCTGGCATTTCTAGTAGTGATGCTTAAAGTACATAAAAAAATGCACACAAGGTGCTTTAATTTTCTCTAACCCAATGATAATGATTTGTACTTAACATTAACTGCGGAATAACTACCTTTCATCGATTGCCATTGCAGATTTTCAAAGTTTCAGATTCCATTTTATGTTCTACCTCAGCTTTGCGAGGCTCGCAGAAATATATGGTTACTAATTCCACGTTACGTTTAGCGTACGATAAGAGAGGGCGATTGTTAAGTATAGTTCAAGTGTAAATACCATCTACATATTGAAGTTGGGATGTTGCTTGGTTTTTACATCATTTTGGCTAACAAATCTCATGATAAACAAAATTAATAAAGTTTGTTCTTATAAATAGTCGTCTACGTGTTGTTTTTCACGGACGAAGTGAATTCAGTTTCTGACTTAGGTAATATCACGCGTCCCCGGTTCGAATTGTTACAGATATACTTATTTTAACTTTGAATCTGGCAGAAACTAGAAAAACAAACTTGACTGTCTTATTTTTAGATATAATTCCGATTTGGTGTCGTCATGTTTTAGAAACTGCTTCAGAAGACGATGTGCATAGTTTTCCTGGTGACAAATTATTTTACATTAACCGCCGTGATAGACGTGGTGGAGGTGTTTCGAAACCCAGTTGCAGTGGTTGTATTTTTACCCATATCACATCGATATGCTGGTACAAAACATAAAGCATGAACTAAGAGAACTTCAAACCATGTGCTGCGAATACACTGTCACTTATTTTCTGTGCACCGAATCCCATTGTTTGTATTGCCTTTTTAGCAAAATAACTGCAATAGTTTGACTGAACATCAAAAATTTTCTCCGCTAAAGCATCAATTACTTTGATTAAGCTCTCTGTGAACAAAGTTGCTATCATTCTCTGTCGTATGCACTTTTCTGTTGAGTTTTTAGGCGCACCTCCGTGTGCTCTGAACGTAAGCCAAAGCGTCATTTTTGCCATGTTCAGAATCGTATTTTAGAGCCTATGCAAAGCACACAGGCACAGCAAAAGAAAATAGTAAGTTTTTTTTGAGGGTTTGACAGGCGTAATTTGTGCATTTCATCAACAACCGCCTTTTGTACAAAAATTACCGAAAACGCCACAATTGACTAAACTTTGTGTACGTGCTAACAAGTGGAAAATTGAGAGCTATCATAAAGAACCTATAATAAAAGCACAAGGCTCTGAGAACGCAAAAAAGCAAGCGTTAGAAAATACGCGAGACAGTTTATTTATATGTATATATTTTTTCGTTCCTGGTTTTTCCATCACTAGGTTCACTTGAAATGGTGGTCACGTGCGCAAATTTTTTTTGTCGTTCAAAATATATTTGGAAAGTACTGTAGAAGTATATGTGTGTAATTTTCTCAGATGTTTCGATAGCAATAAATTCTTTGGCGATTGCCACGGTTCGTAATGTTGGCCTGGACTGACCCTAAACGTACAAGGCAAAATTAGCACTTTCGCCCCCATAGTGTAGAGTTGGGTGAGCTGGACTGAAAGCTATCAATATAATTTGGGGAGAATTCAGCAAGCAAGTCACTTACAACTTAGTTTACCTGTTCACCTGTAGGTGACATGAGGGGAAAGAGCAACCGCGCCCCCTCACCTGTTCCCCTCAGCGTGCGGACGCTCATGGTTGTACATAGGAATCGCAAGAACAGACGGGAATTCTCGCAGGTCACCTTCTGTCCTCTTTAGCGTCTGTGTTCCTTGCGACCTTTTACCAGAGTGTCACTTATCGACTTATTGCGCGCACGCAGCAGGCGTTCGTACCTGAACAAGTGTTCCCTGAAGATCTGCTTGGCCCGGTCGAACTTGTGCGCGTCGAACCAGTCGGGCCTGTCGGCGGCCGAGTGTCCGCAGTCGCCGTCCACGTTCTCTCCGCTCCTCAGCTGCTCCATGCTGAGCGACCGGGAGCTCGGGGCGAACACCGACGAGCAGTCTCTGCGTGGCCCCTTCGCTTCGTCGCCTTCTTCCTGCCGCAGCTGCGCCCGTCTCGAGGCCCCCGAAGTGCCGCATGGCTGGGCTGCGCCGGGAGCGAATAATAAGGCACATAACCCTGCGCGAGAAGTTGCGTGCTAGCAGCGTTTCGCTTCGGGGGCTTTACGCACGGCTGGTAAAGCTGCGACTGCAGGGTGACTTACTCTATGATGCACGGCAAAACAGTTCCGGAAGGAGAATATACGTACGATGGGCTACTGCAGCCTGCACTATTGCTTTAATGATCTGCCATGCTTGATGGAATCTCGGAGGCCGGCGCTGCAAGTTGGCACTTGGACACTTCTTCGTAAGGACACTATCGCATTGGGTGCACGCAAACGCCTTTGTGTTTCAGAAGTCTTAAAGCACGTACTAAACGTAAGAAGTGTTCTTAATTTAATCTCGAAATGATATGGCATAACGCTGTGGTCTGCAAAGGAACCCTGAAGTAATTTCAAGCACTGAATACGCTTCATTCTGCTCTCTTTCCTATAGAGTGGCATCCGTACACCACAGGAAAAGAAGCAACCTGTCACTCATTTCTGAGTCTCGACTTGCTATATTATCACTGACTTAACATGAAACAAAATTAAATATTATGACCAATTATGCACCTTAAAAACTCTGTGCATTTTTTTCTCTGGAGCCGCCTATAAGCGTTATCAGCAAGAAATTGCGGCGAATTTTCTGAAAATGAGCTCTTGTATAGCATGCAAATTGATGAACATATTATACGTACGCATGTTTTGTATTTTAGTACATCGTTGTAAGAAACAATAAGAGGGACTTGCCAGTAATCGCGTATAATGCGAATAAATACAATAGGCTTAACAACACGCTTGTATTTTTTGAAAATTAATGTTCTACATGACATTTCACCTTCATCTTTGTACGATAGCTCTTATGCGCTACTCAGCGTGACTGGACGATATCTTCAAAATTTTACCTGCGAAAATATTTTTTGCTGACTGAGAAACTGCATCTGAAAGACCAGTGTGTATCCAAGTCTTCGCGTTAATGAATGTCTATCTATTCGTTGTGTCCGTGAAAGGAAACCATGGCACTGATGACGTCATTGTGACGTCACGGGTACGTGGTATTTGCGTTCTTCCGCTGCCATTTTGTTCCAGGTGGAGGTTAGCCATCAATAGATCATGCATATGGGATCTCTCATCTACCGAAAAAAACACGCTGCAGGAAGTGGTTGGACAAGCTGTGATATTTGGGACAGTCTTTTATTGTCCGTCTGCCCTCAATTATTCTGCGCATGCAGCTACTTAGGATTTCCGCCTTACATTGACGTGTTACTGCTGTCCTCTTATTATCGTGGATTAACGAAGGCTACTTGGTTTAGCTGTCGCTTTTGATGACGCACGCAGCTTCCATAGTGGGCTCCTTTCCGGGCAATTGGGCGCACACCCATCAACATTTCTGAAGAGTAATATACAACCTGCGGACTTCAACATTTCACGCGGAAACTTGTAGTTCTTGTCGTGGAATGTCGTCCTTACGTTGTGAAAAACAGCTCGGCACTCACAGAACAAACAATGACGTAACAGAAGAAGACGACAAGGGTATCTTTCCTCCGTTTATCGTCCTTGTTTGTTGTATGTGCTCTGATTACTCCCTAAAGTGCATTCCTGTCAGCTCGTCAAATTTTTACTCTTTTATATCAATTCTTGAGGCCCGCCGCCAATCCACCTCCGCTGCTGCGGTCAACGCCAGATCACAGCTGATGCGGTCGCCCGGTCCGGATGACGCCAGTCGGAGCTGGCTGAATGCACATCCGTTGGAACGATGTTGAAGAACGCTTCGATTCAGTTGGCCATTCACTTAATTAGAACCGAAAAAATGAACGAAGTCCTCCACGGACAGTCACCGCCGCGCTATGCACTTGGCACATTTAGTGAGGCAGGTAGTGATCGTCTTGTTACAAAGAAATGGCACGTTCCCTCAAGCTACGTTTGTGCGGCTTTCTTTCCTCGTCCGCCTCCGTTTATCATCCTTTTGTATTTGCTTGCGTGTGGAAACAAAAATTAGTCGATCGATGGATGAATCAATCCACGTAGTAGGTGATAGCTTTTCCGAACAGCTTACTGGAAACAATGTCCTCCCAATGTTATTATACCTTAGTTAATACCAAAGGCGTACATAGACAGCCGATCCACTTTAATGTCAAATTCACGACGTACGATGTATAGGTAATCACGTACTTTCTCGAACATTGCGTGTTCTGTCAGCAGCTTTTCTGGCACGCTTACGCTGTTGTCACGTCGAAACCAAAAGTTGCTTTCACGTTAACACTGAGTTTTGGGGCACGTGCCGACAATGAAGGTTTGGTAAGCTGGGAAGCCGCATCCACGGGTGCGCAAGTGTCCGAACAAATAAAGAAAAGGAATATTTCTGTAATCGGCCATGGTGAATCACTGGTTGTGGTGCTCGGCTGCTAGGTCGCGGTCCCGGCCTTGGCGGTCGCATTTTGGTGGAGGAGACGTGCCGTGTAGTGCGCGACGTGAATGCACGATAAAGAACGCCAGAGGGTCGATATTTCCGGAGCCCTCCACCCTCTACGGCGTCTCTCGTGGTTATATCGTGGTTTTAGGTCGTAATGCGCTAGGCCGTGTTATGGAAGGAAAAAAAAAAACTTTATTTTAGTCCTGCAGGGCGCGCTTTGCGCGTATAGCGGGCGGCGGCTGCATTTCCGATGGAGGCGGAAATGTTGTAGGCCCGTGTACTCAGATTTGGGGGCACGTTAAAGAACCCCAGGTGGTCAAAATTTCCGGAGCCCTCCACTACGGCCTCTCATAATCATATGGTGGTTTTGGGACGTCAAATCCCACAAATCAATCAACAAATCAATCAAGCGTATAGCGGGCGTCTCCCACGTAAAGACCGACAGGGAGTACCTGGCGTCCGCTTCGTGGGCCTGCTGGACGGCCCAGTGCAGGTCAGCGAGAAGTGAGCTCCTGAGGGACCTCTCCCACTTGCTTCAGGTAGAGTCGGGAGGAGTTGTTCTACACTCCCAGAGCATGTGTGCGAGTGTCGCCGTGTGTCCACACGAGGGACACGTGTCGTTGAGGTATGCATCAGTATAAGAAACGTGGAGCTTGGCGAGATTTGGGTACGTCATAGTTAGAAATAGTTTCGTTGAAAAAGTAAATAAAGATGGGCTTGGTAAAGGTGACAGCACACGCACTTGTTTTGTGCAATGCGCAACTCTACTTGAGATTCAGCTAAGTTTTGATAACAATAATGACACTAACGATGAAACTGTCCGAAATGTCAAACGTTTTCTAAAAAATAAAGTGAAAAAGATATTAACGGCTTCGATACTCCGAAATGCTAAAAGTTAGCGCAGCTGTGCGCGTGTTTTTGTTGGATGACAACTTGAGGCAAGGAATGTGAGGAAAACCCGTACAGCTACACAAAATCTTCGTTTAAGGTTGCTTTTAAATTATTTTCATTCTTAAAAAGAATTTTGTTCGTTGTATTCTTTCCGACAGCGCCAACTGCAGTGACAGAGATTGATTCAGTATCGTTTGTGCTCCGTATTTCTATATTTTTCACCTGATCGTTTCGGAAGTTTAAGGTTAGTTTTCTTTCTAGTTTTAAATGTGGAGCGTTTCGTATCCGGCCTCGGTGTCGGCAACCCCACTGCGCATGCTCGCGTCTCATGGTTGCGTCTCGCGCTTTCTGCACCTAACGTGGTTTAGGCATTGCCTGCGGGATCGAAGGCATGCGGTATTTGCGCACTTCACCAGAGTTTGCACAGCCCCCATGAGCGGCGCCAACTGCAGCCAAACGACGATGTCATCTTCTCATGTCACATCATGTGACGTCATAGGGACGGCATGATGATGCCACAAATTTTGACGATATCTGTCGTCATATGGTGACGTTCGCGCGCATGACTCGCGTTGACGCCGACACCGCAGGACGACGGTTAACACCACGTGCCTATTTTCAAATTTGATGAGGCATCTGAAGCTCTCACTTTAGCCTGTGACCCCAATTAAGCTAGGTACACACGACGGGTGAACTCGAGATTCGACCGGGGGAATGGCGTACTACGTCACCATACGTCACCCAATCCCGCGTCCCTGCTTCAGTCCGCGCGGAGCGGTTCGTCGAAATCCCGAAACCCACTTGGGATCTTCGGGGGGCAATGCCAGAATCCTTGCTTGTAGCATGAACTCTCACCGGTCGTGTGAATGCTGGTTGCAGAGGGATCCGACTTACGTCACATGTCATGTGCATGGTCCACGCGGGATCACGTGCGTCGTATGAATACAGCTTAAGGGCCTTTGCATCGAGTAGGCGTGGTGAATTCTGGAGGAATTTTTTTTTTACCTTAAACTTTAACTTCTCGCTTGGAAGGCATTACGTTACTTCACATCAACGAGATGGGGCTCCTCGTCGGCTATCTGTAACACACGGTGGGTTTGAAAAGGGTGCTTTCCAGAAAAGTAAACTTTTTCATCCTCGTGGGGAACAAATAGTATTTTACGTGATGTATTTATACTCTGTGTGCGTGAAAGTACTGCTGAATGGTTTTCAATGAAGCTACAATGAATTTTGAAGCATAACAGGTGCTCTAAACTCCGTCACAGCTGTTTAAATTAGGTAAAAATAATTTTAATGTGCAAGAATAATTGAATTTCACCAGCTTTTTTTTCTAATTGTTCATTCAAAATAACCTTATCTTCGTTTAGTTGTATGCTCAAAAGCAAAATAGGAACTTTGAAATGATGAAAATTGACCTGGAATCGCTTTCTTGGGTATGAAGAGCTCAATATTGTGCTCCCTTTTTCATGCCAAAGAACATCGCGGCTCTAGAAAAGCGGCAGAAAAGTTTGAAAGCAACCTTCTAGAGGGTATTCGTGTGACGTCAACGCGTGTCATTTTATTGTGTAGTTCGCAGCTTTACTGATATGGGGACAAGCATATCAAGGTGTGGAAGTGCATCTTTCACTGTGCAGTCTGCACAGCGAAATGGCGGCCGCAATCACATCAGAGCATACCGCCTATACTAGAAATGCCGCCCTCTCCTTTTTAGAAAGAAGCTGGTCTATACTTCCGAAAAATCGGCACCATCCTGTGGCTGATACTAAGTTGTGTCATTAGAAACAAAGATGATTTAGACGCTGATTTGAAACGGGAGCCTTACCTTTTGCACTTTAAAAATCTAGCGTGATTTCTTGTCAGGATTGCAGCTCTTTCGAGGTGGCGGACTGACTCGGCCCAACTGATGTAGGCGTACTTGGAATCTGCGCAAATGTAACATGTTGAAATATCTAGTGTATCTGTCTTTCATAAAGGACCATTTTTTGTCAAGTGACTGACAAAACGGATAATGGAAAAGAAAGCACTGATGCACAACTAAGTCATTGTATTGAACATTCTGCTGTTATAACACCGGGTGACCAATATTTAGCCAGAACAAAGCAATGGTATCAACTACCGACACTTGTCAACACTTGGCAAAGTGGAGGTGAAAATGCTGTAGATCCGTGTGCTCAGATTTGGGCGCACGTTAAAGAACCCCAGGTAGTCAAATTTCCAGGAGCCCTCTACTACGGTGTCTCTCATAATCAGATGATCGTTTTAGAATGTTAAATCCCACATATCACTCAATCATTATAGTATGCAAGTATATTCATCGTGGACACAACCCAGTTGCGAAAAAAAAAGCACCGAAAACACGTTATTTTCAAAAGTAATAAAACAGTAATCGCAACGTAACAGTGTTAGGCAAACGTATGGTCGACATACGTATTACGGTTGTTACCAACCCTTCACAGAAGCACATTTTTCGTGGCGACTTGCAAAACACTGCAGCTTCTCTTGATGTCTTTCATCGCGTGTCGCAGCTCGATTGCGGAACCTTGTCTGGATGTCGCGAAGAGCAGGGCGAACGTACGCACGTGCACTTGTGTGTCCCAGCGCCAAGGCGCGCTGGACCAAGCGTTTGTCGATTATCATGATTAGATAGTTCCGTCGTCAGGATGCAACGGCGCCGCACTTCAGTCTACGCTTGACGCCACGGGTCCACCGAAACTATCTGTCATCGAGTTGTCAAGTGGACGATGCACTTGTATCACGGTGCAGAAAACTTCTTATAGCTCGTTGGTGCGCGACGAAAATCCACACGAAGCCTACACCATGCACTTCGTGACACCGATCAGAACGTCATGAACCGGGCAAACTCGCTGGCAGAAACGCTCAATAACGGGCATGATCACAGTTCTCTGTTCACGAAGCAAGAGAAGACAACCAGCCAGCTTCCAATTCACAGGGGCCAGTCACATGCCTCCTCAATTCATCCTTACTTAGGCGACTGTTTCTATTGGAAGAGCGTACGATGATGTCACTGTGGAACAACCTTGTCGAAGAGTGACACGTTCAGCGACATTCTTCAGAGCTTTCAGACACGAAGAGAAGAACGCAATGTCGTCCTTGGACAGGTAACTGAAACGGGGACACTCGTTTCGCAAGGATGACGTCCACTCGCTTGTTTCTCTCGTCTCAGCCCACAAGGTGCATCCGACACCACCTTCGTGACCGAGGTATCAGCGTCATGCTGGGGGTGGCTGCCGCCGAGCCAGAGATTGATTGGATTGTGACGTAATATAAGGGTCTTTCGCTCCTGGGTGACTTGTAGAGAAGCGAATGAAAGAGGCGTCATGGCAAGTAGATACACACGGCGCAAGCTTCTTCCAAGTAGCGATTCTTCTACAAACCACTTAAGAAGACTCGCGGCGTCCTGAACTGTTGATATTGATGACCTCTGTAAAGTCGTCATGATGATTGAGCCCTTTGATAAATGCATGCTTCTGTACTTTACTGTCCGTACTTCTGTGTCAAAGAACGGAAAATAAAGCAGCAGATAACTAGGCTGGCTGTCTCCCAACCACTAGGGGGGCTCTCTCTGCTAAACTGTTAACCTCCACGCGTCAAAAACGCAGTCGAATCCCGGTGTGCAAAGTACAGAGAACGGCCATACTCTTCTAGCCATGAAGGTGGTTTTAGGAACAGTTCACCTGGCAGAAGTATTTTATCGCATTGCACGTAACTTCCGGTCCGTCACACGGAGGTCACGTTGACCTAACTTCGGTCGCCCAGATGAGCGGCAAGGCAGGCTGTACAGCACACAAGCTGCGACACTTTTCGTTGTGGTAGCTGGCGTCTTTCTGATGCATCAAGCGCAGAAACAAAAACGAGGAGGCCTTTTTTGTTGTTGTTGTCACTGTATAGCACAAATCACAAGAAACTCCAGAAACAATGTCGTCATAAGCGATCCACTCCTGGTGGTGAAGCACAGGTGCAAGTGGGTTCTGGCGGTGCGCACGCTTATGCGGAGTTCTAATGAATGGGCAACACCGCACTGTTACGAACTGTGACAAGGTCCGGCACTTGCTGGCAACAGGCACCGCACTGCAGTTACGGACCTTGTCCACCACATTTACAGTGACGTGGCGGCAGCGCCCGTTGTGGCCGCACGGCCGTTCTATTGTCGGGTGCGCCTAGTGCCGTGACGTCCTCCCGCACCGCTCCAGTTGTGCACTGAGTCGAATAAGGCCGCGCCCCGGCGTCCGGCGCCATCCTGCATGTCCGGTGTCTGAGCGTTCCTGCGCACGAGTCTATGCCCCGGCCATACATCCCTCTACTTCCGTGTGTCGCTTGTGGTGATATCGTTGTGATACCGTGTTTGTTGATTGACCTCGACTGAAAGTGAACGAAAGTCGAGGACCACATAGCGTGCACCGAAGCGACAAGTCATAGGGGTAACAGACGTAGATTTAGAGGACAGCCGAATTGGTCAGGGCATATATAGGGGTTGCAGGCATCCTAGTTGACATCAATGAAAGAAATGGGCCTGGCCTGGCCAAGTAATGCGCAGAACAGAGTGAGAGGGACAAAATGGTTACCGTATAACGGGAAATGCTATCGACAAAGGTAGAAAGTTGGATTGAATGACAAAATGAAGAAAATTGTAGGTATAAAACGCGATGAGCTCGCACACCATAACTGGAGATCATTGGGAGAGGGTTCTGTCCTGCAGTGGACTAAAACAGGCTGACAATTATGAACTGATGATGATCATAGCTTCAAGTCTTTTCGCCGCATCAGTTCGAAACTTCACTTCAGTTGGATTTTATTCTGGAATATATTTATACAAGTGGAGCTAAGGAGGGCCGTAGTTTGTTCACAACGCTCACAGAAAGCGTCACCGCGTATGCACGGCGCCTGCCGCCTATTCACACGAGCGAGGTGACGGCGCTGCCACCTATAACCTGATCTCGGGGCGAATGGGGACACAATGCCTGCCTGCTTCTTCGGGAAAGGGAGACGTAGAGAAAAGGAAGACAAGAAGGAAGAAAAGAGAAAGAAAAGAGAAAAGTGAAAAAAAAAACACGTGCGCAAACACAAACAGCCATACGAAAATTCTCTTAAACGCGAGGCCAAGTCGGGTTTTTTTTTTTTTTAAGAAAGTCAGCAGGGCTCAATGAGCCTGGTCACGCCTAGGAGTACATCCTCCTGAGAACAAGTAAACGTCAAGGGTCCTGCACCTAAGTCCAATGAGTCAATATTCCTATATTCCTTCGTGAGCAGTGCTAGCTGCATAACGAATGTAGGGCACTCTAAAATTAACTGCTGTATTGTCTCACAACAGCCACACGACGAACATATCGGACTGTCCACACGGCAGTTTGCAACGCGCTCCGGCTGGCTCTGAGGTAGATTACTGGGCTGGCATGCAGGGGACTCGGGTTCTAATTGCATTGTGTCCTTCGTGTTTCTTATTTACTTTTTTCTTCTTATTTTGCGCGATGATGGTTACGAACACCGGTGACGGCGGCAGGCGGACAACTATGGTGCACGCTACTCTTGTTGTGATCTCATAACAGCTTTCGCTGTAAAAAGTTAAAGTAAAGAAACTCGCAGAAAATACTCTCTATAGACTCCTATCTAGTAATCTTCAGCTTAATAGGAAGTTTTCGAATAGGGGCCCCTGGCCAGAAGTTTGGAGCCCCAAAGTCCTTTGAGTAGGGACGCTTTGGATCAAGCAGGAGTAAAGAGTTTTCGAATATAGGGTCTGCGGCGGTTTGGACTCTCCCCCTATTGTACGTCACTATATAGTCCTGGCCGAGAGCCGCCACTTCAGTGGGTGCCACCACGTTTGTCTGACCCAAAACTTTTGGGGTAGGCTTTAGGACTACCGCTAAATTTGGGAAATAGCGTCTCCCCTAAACCCAAACGCGGTTTGTGTTTTGCCCATGTACAGTGGCCTTGACCCTATCTTGGGGCCCTATTCAAAAACTCCCTATCATCAACCCTACCTCAATTCACGTTTATACTCACATCTACTCACAGGTGTTCCGAAGCAGTGTCGTTCACACACCATTTCAACATTTATTAATTAGAGGCGTGAATTACGTAGGCGGGTGCCTTGATCTTTCCCCACCAACTCTACCAGGCGATTTCTTGATTATCATACCTTATGCTGCCATCTCTGTCATACTGGTTTGGGAGTGCTCAGAACTCGTTTTCAGAGACACTATGTCAAACGCACCAAGAAGAGCACTGATTACGTGAGATATTTGTGTTAAAGAGCATTGGCATCTTGATTGAAGAAGCTAATTCTTGGCTGACAGACTCATGAGTCGACTGACTCGGACTCAATCAGACTCAGATCGAGCCATGAGTCTGAGTCCGAGTGAGTCTATATATATATATATATATATATATATATATATATATATATATATATATATATATATATATATATATATATATATATATATATATATATATTTCATAAGTGAGTGTGAGTGAGCTCCACAAGTTTGGCCGACCTATGCTATAGGTCGATTACAAAAAAAAAAAAACATCACCCCATATATTTAAAACGCAACTGAACTCGCTTTTAAAAAGTTCTCACCTTCCCATTTTCAGGCTTGCCGTTGGCTGGACTTGAGAAGGCATTAGAACTCGAGCCAAAAGTAGCCGAAGTATTCGTTCCGTTTAATATTGTCACCAAATTTGTTGCCAAATAGAACCGAAGCGGTATTATGAGCGGTATTGACTTTATTGACGAACAAATAGAACCATTTACACCAAGTAAAACCGGCAATTTAAAAGTAGACAGTGGATAGCTGTGTCGCCAACTGGAAATTTTCGTCGCTTAATGAGTTTAGAAAAGTAGCCAATTGGGCGCAAACTAGCCGTCAACAGTAACCCTGCCCATTTCAGGCCTCACTAAGTTTTTTGAGTGTGGTGCGGCACAGAATAAAAGATTAAAAAAACAACTTTATGCTCTGATGGACACAACGGGATCATGACGTCAGATCAATTTCAACCGCTGCAGGGCCCCTTCAACATCTTCTCAACTCCAAGTAGATGGATGTTTTCTACATGTATAAAACCGCCGGGCCTGGATGAAACGCGCAGCACAGTCACAGCAAAAGCTGGAAGGGCAGCTTTCAGAGTGTTTTCAGGCTATTTTTTCATACTTGTCAGCGACATTCACTTGGACATTTTAATTAACGCTCAATGTACTTTTAACGCTTTATGTATACTTCCTTGCGTTGGCTAATAATTGCTCAATTTCAATAACACTTGTTTCAAAGGTTTGACATATTTTCTATGACAAATCAATATTTAGCAGCTCTATCATTACTAAATGAAAATTATTTGGCCACTTTCCAACGCGTACAACAATTTTCGCAATATTTTATTTATTAAAATTTGTTGTTGAGTTTAGGAGAAAGACGGCGCTGTGTGTTTCCTGAGGGTAAGCGTGTGTGAATGTGCGAATGACCCGAGGGTTTCCCAAGCTGAGCCTAATTACTGACAGTATTTTATTTGATGCTCGATGTACTTTGACACCAATCTATTGACGCAGCCGAGAATCGAATCCGCGTCCTCGAGCTGGAGTGGAGTGAAATGCGGTCCATGAACCCTTGTGGCCCATCGAGGAAGCAGGCAGCAGTGAGTCGCTGACCGACCAAAAGGGAAAAAGAAACAAAGTACACGTATAAATACACTTATCCGAGGAGAGAGAGAGGACAGCGGCGAGAAGCGGCGCCCCGCGGAGAGCGTGGTTGCCAGGCGAGGCAGAGTAGCTTTGGGCGAAGCGCAGTTGCGCGGGTCACAGCAGTTTCTCTCTGTTTATTTCCTTGTTGCGCATAACAGGACGCAAGCGGCTTGGATCGCTTCCAACGAGGCGCGCCTCGCTTAATACAGCACCCGCGCCGACCTTGGCCATGGAGGACAGCTGGCAGATGCGCAGGAAAGACAACCACTGTTATTTATGGACGTACTCACGCGCACACATGTGTACACGCAAATCAATTATATATATATAAAAGGAATTAGCAAGAAAGCTGTCATGCTTTGTATTGCCGACAAGAAAGAAAAGAAAGTTCTGTGTGACTGCGCCATTGTTTGTTTTGATTTTAATGCATAAAGTCGATTGCATGAAACCGGTCGCCGTAAACGTGGCTAATTTTATGTCTATGTGCTGCCTGGGCTTGCTAAACTATCCAGTTTGCTCGAAGAGAATACAATAAACCACATTTGGCATCAATACGCAGTCATTGTTTCTGACGCATAAGCATCGTCTTTTTATTGACGTAAAAGAGAGGGGTGAACGTAATCATGAACAATTACAAAAATAAGTTTTAAAAGGCTGACAAGTATTCGGGAAAACATGGAAGCTTGAAGAGAGAAAATATTTGTGAACATGGGCTGAGGGCAATGTTTTGGCTTCTTGCAGCCACAAGGTCGCTTGTCGAAACGTCGCCTCTAGCTCATTCCCTGCTTACATTTTTTTTTTCATTTATAGATCGGTAATTGAAACACACACAGAAAGAAAACCAGCGAAAGGAAACAGTCCTGCATAAACGTGCTAGGAAAATCACAGGAGGATAGCGTCGTTGAGGTAAACTGATTGGTTGTTGAAATTAACTGCCAATGATTGCCTTGATACCGGTACGAGATACCGGTAGCTTGCATTGCTGCTACAGCCTTATTAAGCAGAATTCTGTATCAGGTGCAATAATCGGACAACGTAGGCGCTGCAGTCTTGTTCAAGAATTTGTAGGTATACCCATCGAATTAGCGTCGGCTATGCTTAAAATGCTACTTCATCATCTCGTTGAGTATAACGCACTGAGAAGTGACACTGGTCCCGTCTTTCACGGCTTCTTCACCCATCAATGTTGTTAGGTTGCTAAAACTTGCAATGAAACGACTTTATCCGTCTTGTTCAGATAGTAGAGCACGGAAAAAAAGTCTGAATATTTTTCGTCCTTAATCTCTTTTTTTTTTGGGGGGGGGGGGGGGCAACTAACTTGCCTATCTCATTGCAATGTCTACCATGTGGTCTGTCGAGAGAAGATCATGTTTTGATTTTCAACATTCCTTTTGAACAGATCTATCTTCAAAAGCAAGCAATGGTTCACTCTGAGAAAGAATCGTTAACAAAGCGACTGAGATTGGGGGTTTGAATACGCAATGCAGCGGATAGAGGCCTGGGCCTAAGCCTAGGGCTAGTCACTGGAGAGTCATCATAGTGGAGAGTCATCAGAACGCTCCCTAAGCTGTTCTGATGAGACTGAATTTTCACCCTGCATGTGTAAGGATGACTTGTTTTATGCTACGTAAATGATAGGGGGTAGGGGGTCAGAAGTTTTTAGGCCATACTTTTTAAAATTAATGATATAGTGGTCTGGGAGCTTTAGACCTTCTCCTGTACTTTACATGAGTCACCTGGTCATAGCACGGGATAAGATGCGATTTCGGTGCACTGGTTTGGCAAAAGTTTTGGTCTCATGTCTCATCTGATTAACCTCAAGAGATCTGTCTAATTTGGAGCTAGGTGGTGGAAACCAGTGCCCTGATTTATAATGGAACTGTATGACGTCATACGCCTTATATTTTTCTGGCAAGCGTGAGTTAGAATGCCTTGTTCGTGTGATATAAAGTGCACGGTAATATACCCACAGAGCAGGATGGATTTTTATGGGAACGCATAATGGAGTTCGGGAGTTTTTTTTTTCAATGTACTACTGTATCTACATGTTTTTAACCGTCCTTTGGATGCATCGATCTGCAAACGACCTAATCTCTGAGGACGAAACGATGTTTTCGTTCGCGAAAGGAAAGCCGCGGTACTCGAACAGGAAGAGTGGCATGCCAGGAAGTGTGGAGCACCGAGATCGCTGCCCGAGATGAGGCGACTCACCCGTGCGGACGCGGAACCGGACCTCCCACACACTCAGCTGCACCTCGTCCAAGTCTGGTGCCTGCCACTTTTCGGATTCGGTGCAGCCTTCGTCCGCATCCGCAGCGAATTCCTTTCGGGGCTTCTCTCACGCATCGCCCGCCGGTCTCGAGTGAACCACGTCGAGTTTACCAGATTGCGAGGAGTAAGGGCCCTCGACACGAAGAGTGTGCGCCAACATCGTGCCTTTAGGATAAGATAAGTCGGCAGCACTCTTACGATTTCTGGAAGCTCGGAAGGAGACGTACAGGAACCCAGCCGTCTCTGGCGTTATCTACTGAGAAGATTCCATCTACCGTATCGCCCGCGCGTGCCATCACATTTTCTTGGTGCTCCTGCAATATAGTTCATTTGCGACACTGTTTTCGTCATTTCCAATATGGCTTGGGCATAAACCTGCGTAGAGTTCACCATTAGGGAGGAAGGCAATTTTCATCCCAGCTATCCTCTCCCCCCTTCGATGGTCGAGTCCGAAAGACACGCTTTGTGATGAATGAATGAAAGTAAAAGTGAAGCGATGACGTGGTTCTCACAGTGGCCTGCCCTCGGTCCATGACTTCCCGGCATAATAGTAATAACTTGAGTTAAGCATCTTAAAAGAACCATGGGATTATAGAGACGCCGTAGAGGAGCGCTGCGGGAATTTGTACTGGTGGTTATGAGCATATGTGCGTCTTGGGGGACCTGCGGGAATCTAGGGTAATGTTTCTTGATGAGGTTTACGCAAGAAGTAACCAATGTATCCGGGTAATTGGTTTATGCGCATCTTCAATAACATTTAGTTATGAATGGCGAAAAAAAAATATCTGTCTTCTATCCCAGAAGTCACAACAATGACACATGTCCATCGATACATTTACCAAAATTTACCAAAATACGAGTTTAATAAATAATATCTCGCTAAAGAAACGATGTTAGTTGTGTTGCCTTTGTTTTTTCAGTATGTAATAGTGTAGTGCTATTCCTATTTAGTAATATTGAAAAATCCGTGAGCAGAGAGAGTGTGTCGAGCCGACATTTCGACAAGAGGACTTGTCTTCCTCAAGGCTGGAATAAGTCCGCTTGAAGAAAAGTCTGCTTGTCAAATACTGCTCGGCACACTACCCCTGCTTCATCGCAAGCTTTCATCTTCCCCTTCCTGCCGTTTTTTTTTAATTTTTATCATAAATTCTTTCCCTTCACGCGCGAGAGCCGCGATGTGATTATGATTACTGCTACATTCCAAACCTGACCTCACGATTTCAATTGAAAACATAAATGGAAACATTTCGGCGAGCACACAATAGACGAAAAACAAAAGTCGCGAAGACGAACAGTTGCGCCAAAATGTTTCCAATTGTGTCCTGAAACCAACACACCCAGCTTGCCATACAATTACACTCACGTTTTTCTTTAGATGCGTCTAAATATAATTACTTCAGCAGTGCAGCACTGTACTTTCATCGAGACCCAATCCCTGTGGCTAGAATTGGACCTACTACCTCGTGATTAGCTGGGCAGAATCCTAACCACAAGCCATATCGTGGAAAGTATTGTATTTGAGGATTCATTATTGTTGACGACACAAAGTGGCATATAACATATGTGTCCATACGAAAACTTACTTTCACTGCACATATCTATTATTTCTTGGGGCCTTCATAATGTTAAAAGGTTATTGTCAAGAAGTTTTAAATAAAGCTTTTGCGGAGTTAAAGGTAAAATATGGTCGTGAGTATTGAATGTATTCTTGACTTTCTTGGGTAATTGATTTACAGAATAACTGGATAAAGATCATTTCTATACAATACACCTCATGATATTGTTGGTTGGTCTTCATACAGCCATTTTGTTCGTATATTCGCTGCGTCAATATGCACAGGAGGTCCTACTTATGTATGTGTATATATATATATATATATATATATATATATATATATATATATATATATATATATATATATATATATATATATATATATATATATATATATATATATATATATATATATATAATGTATTTGTCGTTTTCTGTGTCGTCAAATGAATGAATCTCATTCTGATAATACATCCGCAAGGACCTTGCCAGTGTTCTCTCCTCGTGCCTACCATTGCGATCGACCACGATAAAAGAGGCGATTATGTGAAGCGATCGACAATGGTGCAAACCATGTCATGAGGTGCATTCTTTGTAGTGGCGTCAGCTGCTGCGATGAAGAAGCGACTATGTTCGACCAGCAGGCACATGGCTGTGCGCAGCGACGCACACGGCCTATCAACTCCGCCCGGAGTGCAGCACGCATGCGTTTGACGTCACCAAGAGCACAGAAGCTTATCGCGACACAACCCTGCTAGTATCGATGACCTCAAATCAGAAGAGTGCTCCTTCACGTTATCAAGATCTACTTGACTTTCCCACTCCGACCTCCCGTTCGCCCCGAGTGACTGCACATTTGTCAAACTAGTACATAAGAGGTTCAAATCCTGGAGGCCCGATTTATCAGCGATAACTACAACTCATTTGCTAGTATCTGAGAATGAAAGGGCTGATTATGCTGGGAACAGGGTATACCGTATAAAAGTCGGAAAGTTTGATGAAAGCTTTTGCATAGCATGTAATATAATCATAAATATTATTAGGTAGAACTTATAAAGTGGAACACCTTCTGGCACTAACATATTGTTCTGAAAGTGGAAAGAAACCCGTAGCAATATCAATACGCACATGAAGTACAAAAATACTCTTTCAGAACCACTACTTTTTCTAACTCCTTCACTTTGAAAACAATTTGAGAATGAATGGAACTTCCCGAAGGTATAGTAATCTTGAGTGACAGCACTGCCCGTTTCTCATCGTTGTTCAAAACTTGCGACATGATATACCACTTTTGCTCTTGTCATATTGTACTAAAGCTTTCGTTGTATGCTGCTATTGCTAAAAGTTATTATATTTTGCACTTGGTTTTCATTCATATCACATAAATGTCGATAACTGTATCGACATTGTGATGTGCACCCTCCCCTGTGCGCCACTGCGACGTTGCAGGAAGTAAATAAATAGACAAATAAATAAATAAATAAATAAATGACACTAACCGAATAGGATCCCTAATATTTCGATTTTTTTTTCACCCGACCTACGAAACTTGGCGCAACATCGAGATAGAAACTCGCATGGTTTTCTTCTGCATTCACCGACCACAACTAGAAAGTGAGAGCCGTCGGTGTACCGTCTTAACGTTCACGTTATGTCAATGGCCGGCCTTCGTGAATTAATTTTCGGTATTTAGCTTTCACTAAATAACATTGCCTAATTAATCCATAACTCACCTAATTTCCTTCCCGGTCACACTCCAGTGACGTGTGACCGGGTTTTCCTGTGAGATGTCAGAGATTCGTATGCAGAATTGCGCGTAAATTGTAGTAGTGGTTCCACTCGTTTCCTTATGAGCGGAACAGGAAAGGAATCTCGCTAAATACAAGATGACAAGGCAGTATTGTTCTTTTACTATTTCCTTAATACCACGTGTTTAGTGGCGTTTTCCTGTTTACTCGATTTAGCTGTGGGCGTATTCGGGAACATGATTTTAGAGAATTACCCATTTCTATTTTTAGCCCAATATTGTAAATTCGCATCTGGAGAGATGTGTTGTAGACCCTATTTGTATGCTTTAGTGTCCTTAATGGTGTAGTTTGCGCTGTTGCTGTATTATATACATATACAAGGTTTACAGATTTAAAAGCTCCATACATAGACTTTTTAACCTTATTTTTTACTTTCCGCAAACCTATATACTGTAATGTAATTCGTGGCAAAACATAAAACACTGCTTGCTAAAATCATTGAATACAGCCTATCAAGTTTCATGCACAACCTCATCAAAATCGCTTCTTTGATTGTCAAGCAAATTGATATTACAGTTTGTATGCAGTTGCAGTGAAGCTACCCAGTGAATTTGATCTTAATAAATTAGCCTGTGTTTTACAGTAAACTATCGTTACGATTACAGATTACCTGCAAAATAGCCCATTCATTCAGCACCGGGAGGCTCTAGAGTGTTGCATAATACATGGAATCGGTTAATGCTTCATCATTCTAACGCTGCACTTCGCATGAATGCAGTGGCTTTCTGTTCTCTCTCGGCGATAATCTGATTCTGTAAAGCTGGCTCTAAGTACTTCAACTTCCTCGTAAATTTCAGTAAAGATGTCGATATCACTGCTCCTGGAAGCGTAATATTTTAATCAGGGACGTGGAACTTCTAACTAATAATATGCCTAGAATTTACAGTAGCTGCGAGAAAGAACGTATGTTTACAGCAGATAGTATTTGGCACGGATGTATTGCGCAGGTGCGTGGCAGGCGCGCCGGAGTTTTGGGGTCGGAGCTGGTGTTTATTTCTATGAGTTGCCGCCAGAGTTGCGAGATGCTATAGAGCTAACAAACAAGCATCACAAAAGAAGCCCGAAGAAAACGTTGCGAGTCAGGTGAAGCTTCAAAAAGCAGAAGAATAGCGAATTTTCCTGTTCTTGAAAAGATTGTGATTACCATGAAAAAGATCACTCAATTACGAAGGGAAGTCGAGAAATTCCTGTATTTTATTTATGAATACTGCAACACTCGCCAAGGATTTATACAGTTTGTTGACAAACAAAAACAAAATAGGCAGTGTAAGAATACATTTTCGAAAAAAAAAAGATTTTTTTACGGGGAAAATATCCATAACTATCACTGAAAGCACACATTTACTGTTTCACATGTTTCCCCTCTCCGCTACGTTGACCGCACGTTTACCAGCGCGTTATTAACGTTACTTAATGTTTCTCCCAACGTTTGTTGGACTTCAACACTAAAGAACGTTCAGTTTTAAGTCATCGCAAACACGCTATTGGTGAACGGATGATCTCTAGTATGACTATATTTGCAGAGAAAATGCAAATAAGCCCCAAAAAATGCACCAAGTGACAGTGAAATTCTGCGAGGGCTCGAAAAATAATACAAAAAACAAGCTCAGATCCGCTCAGCAAAACTGACGACTCTGGTTGCTACCGACTGTTTATTGAGCGATTGGGGATAGCACTCACCGCCATGTGACGAGGGCGTTCAGCAGACGGGCGCTTCCTTTTGCCGATCGATTCTGACTTGCGCAGACGCGGTCGACGGAGCGCGTCGGCTGACGCCGGTCCTC